CGCTAGTAAAAAAACATTGTGTAAACCATAATTTTGCAAATTTTTAAATATATGGTCTGTAGTCTGTACCAAATTAAAACTCTTTAAATCACCCATTTTTGAAATGTATCACGCATTTTGACCATTTACGCGATTTGAAGCGGTTTCATTCTGGTTATATGATTTGATAATAATAAAAATAAAAAATATTTTAAGCGCAGGAAAATAAAAAATAAAAACGCTTTTCCTTCGTGCAATATTTTTTCAATCTAATCAAGCGTCAAATCGTTAAATGCACAATTCAACTAACAAGTGCTTTTCATAATATATATTCACATATCTGTGAATATATAAATAATATTAATTTAAAAGTTATCAAATTAGAAAGAAATATTATAAGAAAATCGTAAGAAAAAACAAGTCAAACGAATTTCAAATAGAGTAGGGATTTATGAGGATTTTGTACTCATAGTTTTTAACTCTAAATTTAAAACTAAGAAATTTTTTTTGCTTTCTACTTTTTATTTACAATCTTATTAAGTATAAGTCTATAGTGTATACGCACTCAAATATCTTTCTATACATTTTACAAATGCATAATATACCTTTATATCGTAAATATCTTGTATAAGAAATTTTCACCTTGATTAGTTTCAGGGCAAAAAGTCAATAACCTTTAAAATTGAAACTGAGTGTCTTTTTTCTTTTGTAACATAAAAAAAGGCTTCATTTGTTTTTCGTAGAGTGTAAATTAAATTTTATTTTAATGGTAAATTTGTTTAATTAAAATTTTGTTCCAAACTTTAATTTATTTAAATTAGAATATCAGTTTTCTTGTACTTAAATTGTCATAAGAATTTGGTAACATTGCAGTCATGATTATTAATAATATTATTAATTGGAAAGTGTATGAGTACTTAAGTTGAAGTAATATGAGGGAAAGGAATTGATTGGCATTTGCAAAATTAAGCAAATGATGTCATTAACATGATCCCCTTTGAGATACCTCAAAGTGACCATATATCAAACTTTTTAACAGCCTCAGCTGGAGTTGTCGAATGATGTTATTATTGGTTTCATTGGCAAGTGATGTTTTTCATTGAAATTTACCCCTTAACAAGTTATTTATTATCTTAGCTGTGTTAGACCATATTGTAGATTGCAAGGTATAAATGTTAAGATATTTTCGAATAGAGTAATTTTACATTGAAATAAAAAAAAAATATTCATGACTTCATATAATTCAATATATTATATTTATATTCTAATTAGTTGAACCACATACATTTATGACTACATTTTAAATTATATTATATAAAAACTAGAATTTCTAGTATAATACTTGAATTATTGAAATTGAAAAAAAAAAAAATAGATTTCGAAGAAAAATAATTTAGTAAGATCTATATAACAATTATAGAAGGTTTAGTACAATAAATAGAATAATGATTATAAGATTAAGTGCCGATTTTTCAATTATTTCTAATTATAATAACTAATTTAATATGCAAAATCACAATAGACCCATAATATCTTAGTATTTAATATTGCAATTTTATTTTAGAAACATGGATTATAAATTTTCCCATTGAATCATAAATAAAAAATTCCTATGGCTGCAATGAATTACACACCTACATTAGATATTTGAAAAATTTTTTTAGTCATTTAATTAAAGTTCAACAGCTTATGCAATATTAATAATAAATTTCCTGTTCACATATTCTTCTGTTTTTCTATTATATTAAATTTTGATTAATTATCAATAAATTGATAGATGCCAACACAATAAATAATACATTAAAAATATTTAGTTTTTAATTAATTATCCAAAATATAATGATGTCTACATATAAAATAGTTTATTGATGCCTTATATATTTAAATCTTAAGTCACAGTCATAACAATTTCTTGTATTATACTCGTATATATAATGTTATACAAGTATATTAAAATAGTGAGTGAAATACTCTTAGATTATTACTAAATTTATTTTAAGAGATAATTTAATGTTGATAGTGACATCACCGATTAGCACTTTCACTTTTTTCCACCCTATAAGATAAATTATAATTGTTATGTATTTATATATGTATATACATATATATATAAGACTGTCTGAAATTTATAAAATAGTACAGATTGTGGATTTTAAATAAAATAGTTAAGAAAGAAAGTAATTTGAATAATATTGTATAAGTAATTGAGTTTAATTGTATAGGAAAATAGTAAAATGTTAATTATGTATAATTGTGTATAAGTTTAATTAAGTATATACATATACTGTTATAATTAAATTTTCCACATTTGTGTAAGAAATGTTTTTATTTGGACTCAATATGTGTATAGAACTACTTAAATATTTTTAGACAAAACTTCAATAAAAAAATTATTCTTATATCGTGTATTTTAATTAAAATTTATCTGTTTTATGATATTACAGTATAACAGTTTAAATGTTATTGATTTAGTTCTGATTGAATTCTTAGCAAAATTTCGGCTTTATAATAAACAAATATATTTATAATATAATCAAAAACGAAATTAATAAGCGTCGCAGCCAAAAATAATATAAGAAATAGGTTCAACAAGAAATTTAAGTAGAAATTTCAACAAATAAATGATATAAGGATTAATAAGTATGAGCAATTCACTTGTTTGGCTGATGGGAATTTAATTAAATCAGACTAAATCGTGTGTTAGATTGCAAGACATTGGTACGAAATAAAATTACAATTGTCGATATCGCATTTTCCACAGCACTTATAATTAGTAAATATTATTTAATAACTGACATTGCGAATTTTATCTTAATTTAGTTAAATATTCCTTATTTTAAGAAAACAGTGCCCAAACCCATGGAATACATATTGAACTAAAGGATTTGATTTTAAAATTTGAAATTTATTTTGAAAAATAATACTTGCTTTTTAACTTCAGTTCCAGTTCATACCATTAGCCACCGTATCAGCTCGCAGAAGTATTAAATTTGAAATTTTGTAAAAAATTATTAATTTTTACAAGTTTTATTCATACTCCAGAACCAACTAAATTTATATATCTCTAAGTTAATATCAAAGTTAAGAATATAAGGCAAAGTTAATATTACAATAAAACTAAAAATTTGTCAAATTCTACTTAAGCACTTGTTAATTGTTACCACAGATAGTTGTGATATATAATACAATTCCCAAGAGGCTTTCATTTCCGTAATACAAATCAAATATTAAATTTATTCAGTGAATAATATTACATCATTCTAGATTAACGCAAAATTCTCATATTATTCAATAAATTCGAACTAAAAGTAAAGCAATTCAAAAAATAATTCAAAAGATTTTCAAATAAAATCAAAAAAATATTTAAAAATTATCTTTTTTTATGACAAAAATGGTGTGTAACGAGTGACATTCTAACACACATTTTCAAATAAATCTCCCATACTGAGTGAATTTTAGAGCTTATTTATTTCAAAAAAATAAATATCCGATCATTGCAAATTATAATCCAAAAAAAAAAAACCATAAAAGCGTAAAGAAAAATCTAATTTCGTAAAGAAAAATCTAATTTGCGTTGGCGCTTTAAATGATATGACATAAAAGAATCAAAAAAAAAAAATACAATAAACCTCTTTTACCAAATATTATTTTTGGTATCGGATATCTTGAGTCACAGGTGTTTTGTATTAATCTTGAAATATACAACTTGTATATTATGAATTCGGAAGACAAACATATACTACTTGTACATATATCTTCAATGCCGTAGAGTCAACCATACATATGATACATACATATGTATATTTTCTACAAATTTATTACTTAGGAGTAGTAGATGCTATTCCAAAAATGCTGTTAATCTCTTTTATTTGAACAAATAACAAAATTATTAGATAAAATTCATTCCATGAATTTTTTTTGAAAAATTCATGTATTTTATTATACAACTGTTATACATGTATAACAATTTACGTATATAATATGTAAGTATGTCAATAGTTTATTACTATGTTACTATATTTTGCTATATTATTATTTTGTTTTTGATCTCTGACTCCTACACACGTCATTCACTTTAAAAACAATTTTTTTTTTTTTTTTTGGATCATTTGCTTGCTCGTTTTATTTTTCTCCTTTTCTTGTTGTTCTCTATTTTATTTTGTTACAACGATATTTTTGTATACATACATATTATATGTATACTATAATAAAAATGATTTGTTCGTTTTTTACTCTTGCGGTGACATTATTAAATTTTTGGCAACTAAAGATTAGTTATAAAAAGAAGAGACAATAAAATATTAAAAAAAAAAAAAAAAAAACAATTAAAATTTAAAATTGAAATAAAAATTAATTAGGATTAAAAGTAAAATTTTTAATTTAGCTGCATTTAAAAATAATTCTAAATAAAAGTAAAAGTTTTGCCGTTAAATATGCAATTTTAAAATGCAATATATGAGGTATGCAATAAAGTGGTTAATTCGATTTATTGTTGAGTTACTCAGTTTTGAAGCAAGAAAAATAGGGAAAACTTAAAATTTCCTTTTATTCTACATAAGTAACGAATATTGTAATTTGTGATGGGTACATGATGTCGCTTTGGAATTTTGGAATGCATGACTAACGTTAGTTGTACGTCAGGATATGACGGATTTGGAGGATGTGGAACATGTTCTTTGTGCTTATCCGTTTTTGATGTGGCAGAGGAAACATGTCCTATTGGGGGTTTCTTTTGGAGAGGGGCGTGGATTTAATGTGGTGTCCGGATTGGGCCCCTCTCTCTTACAACTACTACTACTAATTACAATTGATATTCTATATTCTTGTTTATCATTATATCATGATCACATTATATCATGATATCTCTCATTCATGATTTGTCAAAGCACTCAATTTCTGATTAAAATGCAAATTATTACAATTTATTTGAAAATACTAAATTAAATTTTAAATATTTCACTATTATTAATATTTTAAATTAATTTATTTAATTTTTTTCTTAATATTAATTATATTTACAGCTCTTAGGCATTATTTGTATGGCACTTGCATCACCAGCAGCTGCATCAGTTACACATTTCTTCTTATTTGTAGCTGTTACATCATTTATTGCAACATTATTATGGGCATTCGCATATTTCTTGAGTGTACGTGAAAATCTTAATTTGGCAATTAATTGGATCTTAACGGTAAGTTAAAAATGATATTAATTCAATTATATTAAATTTAATTTAAAAAATTCACATTAAATAATTCGTTTCAATTATCTATATGGCATAAATTAAAATTATTTAAATGTTTTACAATATGTCGAGTTCCCCCTTAACTGAAATACTGTCCCTGTAGACATATATTATCTATCTCTATCAACAAAATTTTAAATAATTTTAAATTAAAATACTATTTTTAAAATTCATTAGTTATTTCTTGTATTAAGACAATTTTATTTAAAAATTTTCGATAAATGCCTAAAAAGAGGCAAATTTTTTGGTTTTGTTTTATTGGAGAAAAATTTTCTCTCATTAAAACAAACTCAATTAATAGCTATTCTGGGTCACTAAAGAGTTATTTTGAAAAACTAAAGAATTCCTTTACCCTACCATGTCTTTTGGTAAAGTACTGTTTCTTTTTCACCTTTTTTTTACGTATATCTTGTTGAATAAATTCTATAAATGTGGAAGAATAGTGAAAATATAATATAAGAACCAAGAAAAGTGCCATAGAGAATTAAAATTTAAAGATATTAATATAATCAAATTGAATAGCTGAATGGCTGAATATAAGTTTATTGGTTTTATTATTTTATTTATTATTAAAATTGAAGGTTAGCAGAATTCTATTTTTTATAATAAGAATTTTATTTCCAAAAAAAAAATAATTTTTATCGTTTGAATAATAAATTTGTTTTGTTGTCTGATTGTTTGTTCATCAATATTATTTTCATATACATATTGTTCTGCAACATTTCTATTCCCGCTTTATTATTTAAATTTTCTATTTAAGTTTCCTTATTAATTTTTCGATTATCCGATATGCTTAATGAATAACATTTCACATATGAAATTCCAATAAAAAACGCTCCTAATATTAAAAATAAAATGATCTTGAACATTACTAACTTGTATACAGTTTTTAGTTCATATTTTTCGTAAGTCAAGTAAATTGTTGAGATTCTTAAAAATTTACAAGTTTTCTAATTAACTGTACTATATAGATTTAGCTGAAATTTACAAACAAAAATTCTGAAAGAAAAAATGAAGATTCAAAACAAATACCTTATCTGGAAACCATATACACTTTTTCCTACATAACAACCTCCTCTAATAAAATCATTTTATCTAAATTATCACAACTATTGTAATAAAAGTCTATAGAGTTGCCATACCAAAATAAAATTTTGAAATTGTTTTTGCATCAATTAATTTTAACATTAATTTATATAAAATATAAAAAAAGATTACAATTTTAAAAGTCTATTTAAAATATTAATTTCAAATTTTTATTTTTAGGAACTTCTAAATACAGCCCTGGTTACCCTCTTATATTTAATTGCATTTATTGTTCAATTATCCGGTTGGTCTACTTATTATCATCCATGGTCAGGATCAAATATTGCAGCTGGTGTTTTCGGTCTATTCAATACATTGGCATATGTTGCCGGCTGTTATCTACTATTCATTGAACATAGAAGTGGAGCAACACAATAGTTATCAAAAAAAAAAAAAAAAACAATTTTAATTTTCAATTTTAAAAAAAATGTTTCAAAATAAAATTAAAATGTTCATAAAAAAATAAAGAAGAAAATTAAAAAAAAAAAAGATTTTTATAATAAATATTAAATTATTTTTAATTTTTATATAATTATAATTATTTATTTGAAAAGAACAAAAAAAAAACAATAAAACAAAAAATACAAAAAAAAAACACAAAAATATGTCAAAAATGCAAGAAAAATTTTCAATTATAAAATTTAAGAAAAGCAAAAAATAGTTAAGAAAAATTAGTAGAAAAGTTGAAATACAAAAAAAACAAACAAAAATTTAAGGTTGTTAAAATTTTCCGAGAATCAATTTTATTAATAATTTTAAAAATAGTTTTTAAATATGCAAACGTAATATTTGACTAAGTGTAGGAAAAACATATGTATTTGACTGCGATACTAATTGCGGTATAAGTGTAAAGACAGAGCCAAAGTGGTGAACGGCAACAGCAAACGATTTCTCTTATTAACATAGAAAAGAACGGCAAAATACAAAATTCATTAAGAAACACAGTGCATCGGCAAAATCAACTGTCCAGTCTTTTCATGCAATGTAACACACATATAACGACAGATGATGTAAAAAAATCGCTAGCGATAAAATACGAATTTAGGCTATTTTACCTTTGTTGGTTAAATTCGCGATCGTAATTTTGCTTCATTTTGGACATTCTCATTTATATACATGTGTTTATTTTATATATGAATTTTGACATTTCGCCGCGAAAAATCGTTCTTCTCTGCTTTCATCTTAAGTCACATTAATTTGATTTGCTCTTAGGCGTTTTTGTCTTATTTAATTCTTCAAAAAATATTAAAGAAATTCTTTGAAAAACTTCTATTTCAACACATTTCATATGTTTGTACTGCGCAATATTACAAAATTTCGCTATATTGCAAAAAAATATTCAAGTTTATGAGAAAATTAGGGCTGTTTTCGCTATATATCGTTATATACCGCATTCAAATTTCAAATATTAAGGTTGTATATAGCATATTATATAAAATATAACAAAGTAAATATTAAATTTCACTGTTATATTTTTTTTTTATATAAAAATTAAAATTTTAAATCACAAAATTGAATTTTTGAGTATATGAACGGCACATTTTCGTTGTCAGAATTTATTCAATTTGTTCTAAATTTAAACTTTTATAAATTTTTTTTTTTGTACTTCCGTTTGCTTTTCATCTATATTATAAAATTTCATTTATGTAGAATTTTTTTAATGACTTTTCTATGTATTTTTTTTTTTCTTTAAAACTTTTTTTTACTTTATTTTTTTTTTGTAATAAATCTTTAGTTTTTATGCTAGTTAATAAATAATTTCTTATTTTTAATACGAAAAATTAATAAGAAAAAAAAAATGGAAAAAAACATTTTGTTTTAGAATGTAAAAGAACAAAATTAAAAAAAGGAAGAAAAACAAAACTAAATTTCTTTTTTGTAAAAAAATAAAAAAAATTAATAAAATTAAAAAAAAAATTAATAAAAATTGTTTTTTATTTGGGAAATGTTTAGTAATTTTGCTTCAGATTGCATTCATTTCGGAAATTTGACTTAGGACTAGGGGGGTTTTTGTTAATTCAGTTCTAACATGTACCGCGTTCGAAAATTTTACACACTGCACATATTGAAGATATAATTCGTTCGGAAATTATTCACTGCAAAAAAATTCGGATCCGTGATTTTTACATCTTTTCGTACAATTAAATATTTCTTGACATTACGTTGTTCTAAAATCTGTTCTGAAAATTTGTTCGCAAAATTTTGTATATAAGAGACAATTTGCAAAAGAGTTATTTAAAATCGTTCTTAATAAGCATAAAAATCAATAACAATCAATAATGTAATTCTCTTTTTTCTAAAGATAGTGTTCCAAACTTTGGATGATTTTTAATTTAGAATTCAGTTCTAAATTTTATTTAGAATTCAAATTGATTCTATTTCCTTCTTTTGTTAAAAAAAACTGGGGCCTTACTATGTAATCCGATTTCCGTGTTTGCAAAATTTTTTTCATAAAAATCGAATTACATAGCAAGGCCTCTGGTTTTTGAATGTTTAAAATTTAAAAATTATTTCGAAATTTGCGCCTTATAACATTCAATTTCATTTCATATACATATTATTCATGTTATATTAGAACAAGAGTTTTACTATCCAATCTTTACCATCTGGCATAAAAAAAATTTTAACTAACTAATCCTAAAACACAAAATTTATTTATATATATATTTTTTTTCTTTTTTTCAGGAAATTATTGTTACAACTGTTATAACATTGCTCTATATAACAGCATTTGTTGTTCAATTATTTGATAGATCAGAACATCCTGAAGCTGTTGTTTGGCAATATCGCTGGTCATTATTAAATGTAATTGTTAGCATTTTTGGATTTTTAAATACCTTAGCTTATATAATTGGTTCTTATGTTTTATGGATAGAGAATAGAAATCTATTAATATGGGTTTTAACATAGGGAAAAAATATAAGCAAATAAATAATTATTAAATTTTTTTTTTTTTTTTAATTTGACTTCCATTTTGGCCTGAATGTATGTATGTTTTGTAAATAACAATTCTAGTATGTAATTAAAATTGTAATAAGAAATGATTTTCTAATATTTTTTACTTAAAATTGTTAAATCTCTGATAATACTGATAAAAATATTAAAATAACAAAAAACAAGTATTGCAAAGTCCCTAATTTTAATCGGAACAAATATTTTACAAAAGAATCTAAAAGGGAAATGTAACCGAGAATCAGTAGTGTTAATTAATGGACATTTCCAACTACGAGCAATTTTTTATTGAAAATTGTTTTTGAAAATTTTCGTTCAAATACTGAAACTAGAAATACTTTGAAGACTAGGGATTTTCGACAATTCTCAAATGTACTAAATGTACTTAATTAAACCTCAAAAGTCTTTTAATACATACAAAATCTTTACATTTACGGATATGTAACATATCCGTAAATCGTAATATCGAGTAATTCTGCAATAACCAACTCTGTTTTGCTCTTCAAAACAGAGTTATAAACAGTTCTTGTTTATAAATATTTTTCCAGTAGTTATAAAAAAAAACATAAAAATGCCTTTAAAATTTTTAGCACAACTTTCATTTTCGAATATGCAATTTTTGAATTTTGCTGTTTTACGATTTAGAACCGAATTATCGAAAATCCCCCACTATTGTAACTTAAGAATCTTAATGTTTCCTCCTTTAGTCTTCTGCAGAACTCAAATTGTTAATAGGAGTAGGTAAAAAAAAATGTTTTACGTTTTAATTTTTATATACTTTTTTTTTATTTCTTTTTTGATATATATATACATAATGTATATGAATACATATATATACACACATATATATACATATATTATGTACATATATAATATGTATATATATACGTATATATATGAATATGTATTTAGTAAAAAATGCGAAGTCACTGATTGATAAATAATATTATACAATTTTTTTTTCTTTAGTTTTTCTTTTTTTTTTTTTAATATATTTTATGCAGTACAATTTTTTTTTTTCTTTTTTTTCTTTTACATTTTAAAAATTAAATTTTTAATGCTTTTCTTTGCGATATTAATTAATTAATTAATTTTTTTGTTTGTATTTATTTTCTTGGTTTAACTTTGTTCATTTTTATTTTTTTTCTTTAATAAATTAATTTAATTTAAATAATTTTCTATAATAACATTTTTTTGTTTAATTAATTTTGTAGACATTTTTTTTATATTATCTATTATTTTTTTTTTTATATTTCTAATAGTTTACAGCTAAATCAATATTTATATATTATCCTCATTTTATATAGAATTCTTTATGTTATGTTCTATAATGTAGTATAATTAAACAATGAATGATTTCAGTTAATTAAATATTAAATTGAAAAATTTCATTTAATTTACATAAATAATAATATTATGTTGTATATCATACCATTTATATGATTGTATGATATGTTAATCGAACATATTTTTTTAAATTTAACACAACATAATATGTTCATCTATAAAGTTTTACAACTTTTGGAGTTTGGACGGCAATTTTATTTTTAAAAAGAAAAAAAAAATATTAATAGAATAATAAAAAAATTTACAAATTAATTTTGTTAATCAAAATTATAAATTTTAATTCAATTGCTAAATAAATTTTTAAATAAAGCAAAATTAAATGAAAATCCTATTTAAGAAAGATTTGAAAAAAATATTTAAATCGGAATGAAGATACAAACAGGTTTTTACAATAAAATTTGTATCCTACATTAATTTTACAAAATTTTAAAATTTTTAATTTAATATATTAAGACTTTAATAAATATAAAATACATAAAAATTATTTGAAGTCATTTGAATTTCTCCTCAAATTTTTGTTTGAAAAGTACATTTCTTTTAAAAAAAAAAAAAAAAACTTTTGTAAAATTTTAGATTTATTGTATACAATAATTTTAAGACGAATCCAAATCAAAGGTTTAAAAATGAATTTATTAAAAATCTAAATAAAATAAATGTTGCACATTTAATTCAAAAATTTCAAGTAATAACTAAAAAATTAATTTAATTATAAGAAGTATACTACATAAACCGAGTAATTATTATTAAATAAAGAATAAATTCAATTTATTTTAATATTAATTTTGTTAATTTTCAATTAACTGAAATTAATTAAAAACAAAATATTATTATAATTTAATTAATATAATTTTAATATTTTATTGTATCAATTGAAATACATACATAGTTAAATAAATAAGAACATTTTGATGTTGGTTAATATATAAAGAATCCTTTTGCAATGAAAATAAGGATAATAAAAATATTATAATATTGTTTTTTATGCATTTTTTGTTTTTCTTTTCTTTTGCTTTTTGTAATTACATAAATTTTAAAATAATCATTTCTGTCTAATTAAGTGTTCCTATCTAAATATTTAAGCGCGAAGATTCAAATTAAAAATTTTATTAAAAATTAAAACAAAAACAAAACCAAGTAAATCTTCTAATGCTCGCTTCAATTCTAATTAATTTTTGTTTAATTTTTGTGTTTTTTTTTTTAATATTTAGCTTAAAATTTCACATCAATTATTTTTATTATTTTCAATAAATTTTTTTTGCACATTTTTTTTTTTTTTATTTTATTTATAAACAACAATTATCACGAATACTTGTATAATACATTCACGTTTTTTCCCATTTTTTTTTAAATTTTTTAATATTTTTAATTTTTTTCTCATTTTGTAGCAATTTTTTAGTTTTTCAATACATTTTTATATTTCTTGTTTTTTTTTTTTAATTATTTCGAAATTTTCGAATATTTTTTTTTACGATTTTTTCATACATAATAATTTATTATTTTAAATTTTACTAACATTTACATATACATTTTTTTTATGTATATTTTTTATATTTTCAATTTGTTATTACATTTTTTTGCTTTTTTTTTGTAATTTCTTTTTTTTTTTTTGTTATTAATGGACCAATAAATTATGTTATTCTAACTACAGCGATATACATATATAAATATATATATATATATATATATTAGTCATTTCGAAATTAAAAAAATAGTAAAAATAAAATTATTAAATATAAATATTTAGACATTAAGGGCATATAATAGTATAATATAATTGCATATAAAAGGTGTGTAAATTTTAGCAGTATACCAATAGCATTTATTTTGATTTTAATCCTATTTTTTTGTGTATTTTTTTTTTTTGTGAAATATTTAAGATTCACTAAAACTATTATTGAAAATATTGTTGTGTGTTTATAAAAAAAAAGCAAATAATTTCAATAATTTTTAATGTAGAAGGGGTGTGGTGGAGTGAAAGTGATAAAATGAAGGATAAATGCAATAAAATGAAAAAAAAAATTCGATTTTATTTCATTTTCTAATCTGAACTATACTTTCAAAATGAGATTATAGATTTTCTGAGTTTTTTTTTTTGTTTTTGATTGTAATACTATTTTCAACATCAGTCCTATTCAAATTTGTTTTGCAAAAAAAAAAAAAAATTCTTAAATTTTTTTTTTTAATATTTTTACGATTTTCTTAATTCTGTTTCATTTCAAATTTTGTATTGTCTAAATCTAATATTGAAAGAAAAAATGGGATCTAATAATATTTTATAATTACCTTTTACATTTTTGTTTTCTAATTGTTTTAATTAAAATTTCAATATAAAAAATATTTTAAATAATTAATTTCAATATAATTTACAAAGCTAAAATTATTCGTTTTTTTTTTTCGCATAAAAAAATATTTCGCAAAATTTTTATCACGTTAAATTTAATTTTTTTTATATTTTCTTTCTTGACATGGGGAATACACTAAAACAAAAAAAACAAAAACAAAATTTAAATAAATAAATTTTAGGCACTCACCAATTGTTAATAATGTTACAAAAATATTTAAAATATTTGAAAATGATTAGTAAATTTTTAATTGAAAATATTGAATTTTTACTTGTTTGTTAATGCAAAATAAAATATTAAAAAATCATATATACATATACAATAAAATATTTAATAGAAAAATTTTTACTTTTCTCAAAATTTTATCTTAAATAAATTTTGTATTTAAAATTTTAAAAAACTTTATAATTTTAAATACAAAAAGGTAATGAAATTACATTAATTTTTGTAAAATAATTGAATAAAAAACAAAAAATATTTTTGATTGCTACAAATTATTGAAAAAATCAAAATACTTTTCTTAACATCAAAATTTGAATAAAGAAACAAAAACTTAAACAAAATAAACTAAAAAAAAACAACTAAAATTCAATAATTGAAAAAATAAGCAAAAAAAAACTTTTGAAATAATAAAAGTATTATTAATTAAATAATATTTTTTGATCCTTATTTAAAATAAAAATTAAAAAATATTTTACAACATTATATGAATAAAATATTTTAATAAACTTTACATTATGGCTCAATTTGAAAACTAGTACAACTAATAAAATAATATAAAAATTTTGTTAAAATTTTCAATGGTTACGTAATATAACTTAGAATTACAATTTATTTGTTTTTGATTTTCTATTTCAAATACAGTTAAAGCGAAAACATTTTTATCGTAAAATTATAAAACTATTAAATATTTTTATTTAATTTTATATTGAAATTTATACATATTTAATACAAAAAAAATTTCAATTTAATTCATAGTACAATTTTACGATTCTTGATATAAAAGAAATATGGCCAAATACTTTCTTTTAAATTGAGTTATATGTATAGAATTGTTCAAATTGAATTAGAGATTGAAAAATTAAATACATGTTTTATAAAAAAATATATATATATTTTTTTTTAATTTAAAATTATATTGAAAAATCAAAGTTTCTAAAATAACGCATTTTAATTAAAAAATTTATTATAAAACTTCGTTAACTTGTTTATTTTCCTTTTTTTTTTATACAAAATTTAAATCTCTAATTATTTATTTTCTACAATTAATCAAAATTAAAAAAAAAATGCGTGTAAATGGCACATTTATTTTTAAAAAAATAAACTTAATTTTGAAACAATAATAATTATTTTAATAAATTTTATACATACATACTTTAGTTTCATATTTAGTTACATTATCTATTGTTATACATAAATTTATACATTATGTATCTCAATATATTTTTATACAATTTTGTTTTGAGCATTTGCTTTTTCTTTGTTTAATATATTAAAGTTGATTTTTAGCTTTTTTAATTGTAGATTGTTTTGTTTTAATGTGGAAAAATAATTGTAAAAACATAAAATTTGTGCAATATATTTGCAGTGTTTTTTTTTTTTTATTTCTTTCATTTTACTTAATTATTGTAATACATGTACGATAAGGAATCTATAGTCTTACTATTAGTAAATAATTAATGATGTATAGATGTAGAGTCAATGATTTTTTGAATATAAGTATTAATATAAGCATACAATATTTTGTAATTAATGGTTCTAAAAATGTAACATAATTGCATTTCTTAAATTTTATAACAAAAATTTTCTATTGTTTTATTTTTAATTGTTTCATATTTGAAAACAATTTTTTTATGGGTTGAAAAAAAAGTGAATATTTTAAATTCTGACAGAAATTCAATTTTCTGACAGAAAGTAAAAATATAAAAAATATACTTATTGTAATACAACAATGTTACATTCTAAAACTAGAAGCCTTTAGCTTTATAAATAATATAAATGTATACTTGATAATTTAACAAAATATTTCATAAAATACATAATTTGGTTTCCTTTTTTGTTTTTAAAAAAACATAATATGTATATATAAAAATATAAATAAAATAAATTTAAAAAAAAAAAAGGAACATCTATGGGTAATGCAAGGTAATGGAACCCGCGATGTTGAGTACAACAGAAGAGCTCGCCAAAGCTAATTTAGATCATCTAGCGAGGATGGAAAAAACTTAAGAATTATAAATGAAATAACTACTAATTAATAATGTTGAAGTATAATAATTAATTAATAATTAAGAAATATGAACATAATCTAATAAACATACTAAAAATTAGTATTATTTTTAAACTTAAAAAAAATTGTATTAGAATTATATTAGAATATAAAAATAGATATTTTTAATTTAATTATAAATTAGTTAAGAAATATTTTATTAAATTTTCAACTATCAAGTATTAATCAAAAATTAAAATTTTAGAATATACATGTGAAATAAATTTTGATTCATAAATATTATTTTGACTAAAAATGTTGAAAAGCTCAATTTAATATTTTGTTAGCTAAAATTATTATTATTGAAAAAATCAAGTGATAAAAATAAAATAAAATTAAGCAGCATTATAAAAAATATTTCTAGAAAAATATTTAATAAATTATACATGTTTTCATATTAGAAATCTATTTTAATATATGTAGTTTACTTATTAGATATACATTATATCTATATATTTATATTTAGTTTCTTTTTTCCATTTTCACTTAACAAAATATACATTTGAAAATTTTTCCTGCTTCCATTCTCTTTGTATTTTTCTCCTAATATTTTTTTTATTTAAACTTTTTTTTTTAACTTTTTTTTTGTTTTTTTCTTTACTATGTTTATATTACAAAGGGTTTTGCTTTAGACAATGTAAATTTTTGTTTTAGTATTTTTGTTTTTTAGATTTGCTATAAGCAAATTGGACAAGATAATACACAGTTTGAAAAACTTTAAATCTATATAAAATAATAGAAAAACTAATAAGAACATAATATTCATTATTTTTATTTTTATTTTGAAAATTTTACTTTTTTTTTTCTTTTTACTTACATAATAGTTGCTTTTTAAATACTTTTTAAATATATTTTCTTTGATTTAGTTTTCTTTTTTTGCTTTGTTGCATTAAGCATTTTCAAATTTCAATTCAATACAATAATAATTATTTTATATTAATTATTCAAAAGTTTCTAATTATTAATAGAAAAATTTTAAAACAAATACTAAACCCGGAACTTTCTAAAATATACTTCAAATTTCACATGACAAAATTGAAATGAACTACGTTATTGGTTTGAAGATGGTAATATTAAAGACAAATCACTAAAAATTTATAAAACGTTAAAACATTATGCTTATGAAAAAAATTTAATAATTCAAATAAACTATTTATGTATGGACAAATTTTAAAATAGCCAAATGATGTTCAATTGTGATGTACATTTTTCTATATATAACGTATAAAACGTAAAATATTGTTTTAAATTATTTGAAATATTGTATATTGTGGTATTGAACTGCATTCTATTTTAAAATATTAATAAAATAATAGCATCTAAATTATAGGAGTAAACGCAGTAAATGAAATTACTTCAATAAATTATGTCCTTATACAAGAATAATTGCTTTATATAAATATTACTGTATCGATTTGAAATTAAAAAATTATTAAATATTTTAACATTTATTTTTTAATAATTACATTTTTATAAACTGCAATCTTAATAGCTAAGAATTATTTCATTTAAATTAATCACAAGCTCTTATTTATTTTATTTTAAATTATGATTTAGTTATTATTTATTAAATATACACCATTAAGATTAAATTTTAACAACAAATTTTTGCAGCTATTTTTCATATTCATATTTTAATAGTAGCATTTTGATTTCAGAAGGAAAAATTGGTTAAATTAAATTAGCAATAACAAAAAGAAGTATTTATGTATGTATGTGCTTGTTTCAACGATTGCTTTTCTGTATTAAGGATATAAATATTATGGTTAAGAAATTTTGATTGATTTTAGTTTTAGTACTATATTTGATATTATGAAAGTTACAGTTGAAAAAAATGACGATGAAATATTTTTATTAAATAGCCACTAATCGTACAATAAGGTTATATATAATAATATTCATGTGTTTGAAATGATATTATCGTCATTGTTTTTTATTGCAATTTATTTCGTTTAAAATTGCTTTTTAAATGCTTTATGCCAATATTGATATAGTTAAAATAATTTAAAAAGCTTGAGTACAACGTAAAACATAAAATCTACCAATTAAGAGTGTTCATTTTGTTCCTTTATATTTATAAGCCTTTTTGATGATTGTTCATGAAAGATTCTAGAATTTTAATTATTTTTTTCTTTTGTTTGTTCTATATTTTTATTATAAAGCTGTAGAAAATTTTCTAGTTTTAGCATTTTAACAATATTTTTGTATAATTTTTTGCTTTTTTTTTGATTTAATGAATGCATATTTAATTTTTATTTTTGATTCCAATGAGATTCTCAATTATATTTTGTTTTTGCAATTTATTTTTTTATCGATTTTCATTACCAATAGAAGATGAAATTATATTATTTACGTTGATGAAGAACACAAGCGTATTATTATTTCTATTTTAATTTATAATTATACTTTGTATATAAGGTTTAAGAAGGAAAAATTAAATATATATTGGGTTTTCTTGACCAGTTAAAAGACGAAACATTGATGTTGGCATTGTCTTCATAAGAATCTAAAACATATTAAAAATATAAATTAATGTTCTGTTTGCTTTAATAATATTTATACTAATTTTATGAAAATGTGAGTCTTAAATATATGAGTACTTTATGTGATCATGTGTTTTGAATAAGAATGCACAAATCTTACTTCTCCGACAGATGTCGCTAATAAATTAACAATTTTCTCATGCGGAACTGCAACTACACTTTGGTTATTAATTTCAATTATTCTATGTCCGACACGTACACCACCTCTTTCAGCTATTCCACCTCTTAAAAGACTGCAAATCTAAAAAAAAAAAAAATTTATTTAATTTAGAAATAAGATTTAAAAAAAATTTTTATTATTACCACTCCGTTTTGTACACTAAAACCCAATTGATACTTTGTATTCGGTCGTTTTATTTTAACTTCAACAACTGGTGGACAAGGCACAACCGTAAATTTCACAGCAGTCTGAGTTTTTGTGTTTTTTATATAAGTTTGACAAGTTGATAATGGAAGTCCAACTAAACTCATACCATTAATAGCAATTAATTGATCACCAATATTTAATTGACCACAACGAGCTGCAGCACCAGATGACATTAAATTAGCTATTACAACAGTTGGTAACATTGAACCCCAACCACTTTCAACTATTACAACTCCTAAAATTTCACCTTTCGCTTTAGGTACAACAACTTCTTTTTGTAACTCTTTTTTAGCAAAAATTTCTAATTCATCACCAAATATTTCTTGACTATTTAATACTTCTTGATAATCCATTTCTTTAACAAAACTATGATCTTCAATACCATTCGCTTTTAGAAATTCCATATATGCGACTTGAAAGGCTTGTCCTATAGATTGAGCTATAAATTGTGCCTCATCACTTTCAAATACATGACATATCATTTTTGGTGTCCGATTTGGTTTAACATTGTCATCAGTTTCTGAAGGAACGAAGCGTCTTCTTGCCATTAAAACTACTAAATCACCAATGTCAGCTATATAAGATATAGTACGAAGGGCATGATCCATCATAATTTCCTTAAGATCAGTATTTAAAACCATAATTTTTTCAGTCGAAATAAATAGATCTACTTCAGTACTTGGTTGATTTTCCCCTTCTGGAGCCTATAAAAATGAGACAAACGTTTTAAAATTATCATTCTGCAAAACGTTAAAATTAATATTTCGAATGAAAATCTGTAAACATCAAACAAATTAGTTTTTTTCGAAAATTTAGTTCTAAATTTTTTTTGGTAACTTTATTGAGTGATCTACATGAAATGTGTGGGCGAATAAAAGTGCTAGAAAAATTTTAAACTAAAATAAATTAACGAAACTGTCATTCGCAGTTATCTTTAATTTGAATGACAAATTAAAATTACTCATCACTCGAACCACTATTTTTTTTAGTAAATACAACTACAATACAATATTATGCTTAAAAAGTTGATCTAATTCATCAAAATTTCAAGCTTTCAAAATGTTCCATTCATTGTTTTTCTTAAAATAAACAAAGCTACGAAATAAAAATTTGAAGCATAACATATTTAGTGTCAATATAATATACGAGTATTTGTGCTGCTTTTATAGATTATAATATCACAATTAATATTAGACTATAAGTGTAAAAAGATTTATATAACTGACAACAACTGTGGAGGTTCAAGATCGAATCAAATAATAAGACGTAGAGTTGATAAAATAATACTTACCAGGGCCTGTTTTTTTTACAAATTATGTTAGCATGTTAGAAAGAAACAAATTAATAAATTTATGTTAATTGCGAATATTTATGTGATAATTATAATTATGGTAGACTGCTCTAATGACAGCATGAAAATGTACTATAGTCAATTGTAAAGAAAATTAACCTTAATTCTGGAAACAGCTTCTTCAGCTTGCATCATTCTTGTAGATTTTGTGGGTTGGCCTTCACAAACCAGTTGAGTTGAACCTAAATATCGAGCTCTGAATAAAACACCTTCAATCAACACTGCAGGATCCAAGAGTGCTAAAGGAAAATAACTTTTGTTACTATGTGAAATTCATTCAATCCTTAAATTTGGTTTACTTTTTCAAAATTTAAATGAAAGAAAAGAATTAATAATAGAATATAGAAAGACAACTTACATTTTGTGCATTGATTGGGATTTGTTTTTTTTTTTTTTTGGTAATTTAAATATAATTATTATTTTAGTAGATTTTTTAATTGTAGTGCAGATTTTATTGTAGTGTTTTATTTTGTTATTTTGAATTTTTAGTAACGTGAAAGCGTGGAAAAATTTAAAAATTAATTTATTTTAGTTTATATGTTATTTCTAAAGGAATTAGTGAAATATTTTTCTTTAATAAGATAATAAGAATAAAATAAAGGGTTAAAGAGTAAAAATAAAAGGTAAAAATAATTTGAAAACCAAATAAGATAAAGAAATTAAAAAAAAAATAACAATTTCAAATTACTCGGGTGTATCTTCAAATTAATAGAGTCAATGTACCTTCTTTATTACGAGATTTTGATTTTTTATCACCATTTAATGAGTCTTTTTTTGATTTTATGGAACTAGTTGGACTTGGTTTTGTAAATTGCAATTTTTCTGGAGAAGTTAATGTTATGTCAGAGGAACCAACAATATGACAATGTTCAGGTGATGTTGGTGTCAAGGCGGTACCGATACCCTGACGAATAGTAGCCGAAGAAAATGTTTGAGGTTTAACAATTGCATTTGTGCTACCTGTTGCTACTGATGAAGTTGCTGACCCAATTGTTGTTAACGTTATACCAGATAGGCTTGTTGGTGATTTTAAACGTGATGCTTTTAACCATGGCTGAAAAGAAATGTTTTAATTAAGGGGTAAAACATGAAGAAGATTCTGTTTAAAATTAAATTTAATTCAACAAATTTTATTTACCTTCTCATCAAAGAAATCTTGGTCGTCTGACCTTTGCTGACCAAGTAAACGATCAGTTTCTAAATCTGTATCTGCCTCTTCTTCATCATGACCATTGCCAGAAACTGATGAATCTTTTTTACAATTATCTAATTGTAAGTTAGAAAGATTAGAAAGATTTTCTTGTGATTGTGTATTTTTTCTTGGAACCCATATAGGAGATTCGTGACCACCTTGTATAACTTCATCGTAATATTTTGGTTTTGTTGCGTCTTGTAATGCTTTCGTACGTTGCAACGCAGAACGAATATCTTTCAATGCTTCTTGGATATCTTGAGATTCAGATATATCAGCTGCTGAAGACGGTATTGATTGTAATATTGTGGTTGTCGTTGAATGTCGGTGAGGTGCTGGTGCTGGTGGAGGTGGTGGAGTTGATTGTGATAAAGCTGTGTTTTATGAAATCATATATTGTTATATAAATCCTTTGTGTTTTTTATATAATTTAAAATACTTACTTGAAGAAAATATAGCTTCAAAATTATTTTCTTTTATGTTTTTACAATTATTGCTATTATTTGTAATTCCTATACAATTATTACTAGTCAGTTCAACAATGGAATTAATATTATTAGTATTTGAAATGTTTACTGTTGATGATACTGACGAGATTTGATTTGTCGTTAGAGCCGATGACAAATTATTTGTTAAGTTAATTGAAGAAGATGTATCGTTGATTGTTTTTCGTAAATTATTTGTATCCATGTTCTCCACAGGAGCCATTTCTAAATAGTTTTTTTCAATTACAGCTGACGATAAATTATTTTCAGTATCTGATGCATGGCCACTAGATAACCCATCTTCTAAAACCGGCATACTTGTATAAAGCTTCCCAAAATCAGTTGGACAATTTATGTCGTTTGATAAACTATCTAGATCACCACAATTTGAATCATAATCCGTCGTTTCTGGCGATAAAGTGAAATTTCTCGAATGTCTTCTTAAATTAGCTTCTAACTCTGTATCAGCCAGATCACCAGAACTACGACTGTTCGTATCAATATAGAGCTCAATATCATTATTTTCAGTGTAGTTTTCATATTTCTACAAACAACAAAATTTATATTAAGTTAACCTTATATTACTCAAAAAGAATTTTTTAATACTAACATGTTTTCTTGGAGATTTTTGCACCATATATTCTTCATTTGGTAACCTAGCTAATCTTTGACCAATATAAGCCTGTTCAGCCTTTTTCTCTTCGCTCCTATTATTATAATCTTGATTTGTATCCTTTAAAAAAATTTTAAATATGTGACAGCTAAATAAGTCAAAACTGAAGAAAAAAAGGATGATACTTACAGTACTTGCTAAATCATCACTTTCATTTAAATCACTAAATTTTCTTTCATCATCATTATTAGTACATTTAAAAAATTCTTCTAAAACTTTGCGTGTTTCTGAAAATTCATACAGGTAATCAAAAGTAGGAGTCTTTGGTTTGATAGATTCTTCTTCATCTTTATTATCTTTATTTATATTATTACTAGTACCGAGAACAGAAAGATTTAAGGATGACTTATTATCATTAGTTTTATCACTAATGTTATCATCACTTGCATCCATATCAATTAAATTAGGGGATTTGTTCCGATCATCTTGTTGAATGTTTGGAGATATTCTTTGCGGAAAGCCAGGTGGTCTTGGAAAAGTAGACGGAGATCTGGAACTTCCATTATTATTACTACTACTACCACCAATAATAACGCTATTGCTAGAATTAAAACTTTTGGTTGGTGAAATTTCTTGTTGATTAAAACTTCCAATTCTTCTTGGAGAGCCTTCATACTCTGCAATTGGTAATTGACCAATCATTTTTGTAACTTTTAATACATCTTCGCTACTCATACAGCATTCTTTATTTGATTTCATCCAATTGGTATCTATATCATCGAAAACAACGATTTCACCACCCCGAATCAAATTCGCACCAGAAGTACCCAAATCGGTGGGTGAGCCAGCACTTGTGAGCATTTGTTGTGGTATATTATTCTCAATAATTTCATTATTACCACTTATATTATTTGTTCTAGTATTTGGTGGATTATTTTCATTTGATGTTTCTAGTAAGCTAACAGGACTTCGACCCACACGAATTTGTTGATGTTGATGCAATTGCATTGAATAACCTAATGGATCAATTAAATCGGGTGAATTTAATACTGTACTTGCTGGTGTTGTATTCGGACTACGTTTCCTCATTTCCCAAACGTATCGTTCTTGGGGTTTATCATATTTTTCGTAAAGAGCCGCTGCCACAACCGTTGACGTTTCACTGCCGCTACCTAATTTCGATGTGAAATTGTTAAGATTTTGTCTAGGTATTGAGAAACCAGCACCAGTTAAACCACCACCGCTACTTACAAATTGTGATTTATCACCTTCGGCATTCATATTGTTGATAGTTAAAATTGTTTTGTAGGTTATTTTTTATTCAAAAATTAATAGTGATAACTTAAAAATGGATTGCGAATTAATTCAATGCTTTGAAATATGTATATACGAAAAATATTTGATTGATATTTATTTATATTGCTTGTAGGCAAAATTTATTTGAGAAAAATATCAGGTTCTAAAAAGAAAATTAATAGACAGGCGTAACTAATTTTGAAATTGATATTGCATTATTTTCAAAATACGAAAATAAAATAAAAAAAGAAATAAGTATAAATAAAAAATAAAAAGCAAATAAAATATTAAATATTTATCTTAAAATATTCATACATACAATGTTTAGTAATTACATCACTACATAAATATGAAAAAAAATTCCCATTTCCTATCTACATATATTAAGTATTATTAATTAAAAAAGCACAAATAAATATTTCAGCATATAAACTACTAATTCCTTTTCAGTAAGCCTGGTTTAACACCTTCTAATTTATGTAAACAAACTATGTTTTGCTTCTAATTCAATTTCATTTTATTTTAAATAACAAAATCAGTGATTGATTTTGCGTTAAGTAGAAGTTGTAATGTTTGTAATTTTTGTAAGTGTTTTATTTTAAGTGTTAAATTTTCACTATATCCTGCATATCTAAATACTTGCCTAATATACCTGTGTTATACAACGCGCAATAGAAAATTGTGGGTAAAAAAAAAAAAAACAATATTAAACTCAAATTTAAATGTCTACTCCGAATTTTTAATATTATCTACGCAATATTTGTGTCTTTTAAATGTTTTCTTACAAAAATAAAAATATCTTTAAAATCTATCCTTTACTCTAAGACGCGTAAATGAATATAAAAAGAACATTTTTTTCCTTAGCTTTACAAATATTTCAATTATAATTATCTGCATGACATTGAAAAGCTTAGATCATCATTTTTCTAGATTTTTAAGCTAGTTTTTACTTTTTAAAATTTATGAATCATTTAATGATGTCTTAGTTTCAATAAAATTATAAATATTCTTTTGTTACAAGAAAAAATTTTTTCATAAATTCGATTTTTTTTTATTATTGTAATTAAGTTTAGAATTAATAATGTCTTATAAATAAACTCCTATACATCCAATTTTCTTCTAGTTAATTAATGTAAAGTCCTTGACATTATTTTCTCCACCTCAGGTTTATTATTAACACAAATTTTTAAAGAATAAGTTATCCTTTTTGAAAAACAAAGACTAAAATAAAAACAAAAAAAAAATAATAAGACACGCAATTAATTCTACACCAAAAAAATGCTATAAAGAGAAAAACACACTTCTACACCATCACCATCTTCGAAGAATCCAAAAAAAAAAAAATCGATATCGAAAATTTTTTTTTTAAAAGAGTGATCGTATTTTTAATATTTTTTTCCAATTTTTTCTTTAAATTTTGTTTTTCAGTAGAATAAATAAATCACTAACCATTTTTATAATGCTTTTACACTTTATTTTGTACAATTAAATTCATTTTTTTTTTCTCTTGAATTTTCTTTTTCTATACAAGACTTTTTACGCGACAGCACATAAAATTTTTGACATTTTGAAATCATGAAAACAAAAAGAGTATAGTATGAATATGTCAAATTAGTTGCTAAGAGTATTGCCGTTTGAAAAAATATTATTTTGTTTTTTTTTTTTATTTTGTTAGGGGGCTCGATTTTGCATACATAACATAGGATTCACATTTTTTTTCTCGGCAAAAATTTTTAAATTCCCATAATTTATTTTGATTGGAAAATAAAATATTTTGACATTTATTGTTGTGTTAAGTTGGAAATTTTACGCCAAAAACTAAGTACGCCAAAAACTAAGTATTCGAATTATACTCGAAATAACAAAAATATCAGCCGTAATAAAACACAAATTTCTGTTAGTCGTGATAAAACAGCAACTTTGCAGTGCGTAACGTAAATTTCGAAACAATTAAAGAAAAGATATGTATGTACATATAAAATTTCAGAACGCAATCAAAACAATATTATTTTGTTTTTAATATTTAAAATTTTAGGCGAAACATCATCAAAATTGCATTTTGAAACATCAAAATATCAAAAATGAACTGAATGTTATGAAACCGATTTTGCAAGTCTTTGGGAGATAACGATTGCGTATGGTTAAAAATGACTCAACAAAACCTTTAGATTACTATCGTTTAGCTAAAAAAGAATTCGATAAGCATATCTTTAACTACTAAGATGTAGTAAAAAGAGAGTCACTGTAGTTCGGCAGGATTAAAACCTAAAAAAGTTTAGATAAAAACATGAAAAATACTAAGCAGTTTCCCGTTTTGGTAATCAGAATTTATATTTGAGTAGGCATAAAATGGTTTTTTGGTTTTGAAGTGAAATAGGAAACAATTCAGATATTTATCCAATATGAATACATACTTTATATCAATATTCATCCAAATTTCGGAATTTACTCAATTTTATTCGTATGTATAGGGAAGATTATCAACAATAAAAAATAACAGCAGAATTATTTCCAATATAGTTTTATTTTTGTTTTTTTTTTCTTTTTTATTTCTTAATTTTTTTTTAATTTTCTGTATATATGTTTATTTGCAATTTTTATATTAATAATAATTAATAATAATTATAATCATAATAATTAATTATTTTCTTGTCATCATTTTTCAACTTAAATAAAAGAATTTTTAGCTAACAATATTTTTATTTTTCAAATTTTCTTTCTCAATTTGTAATTTGAATTTTGTATTTTTAAGTGTTTTATTTTTCTTCAATTTTGGATTTTGTTTACTTTGTTTGTTTCTTTTTTTGTTCTTTTTTCTTGAGTTTTTTAATAATTTTATTGAGATTTTTTTTTTATTACTTTCTTTTATTTTTTTTTTTTCATTTTTTTTTTTTTGGAGTTTTATTAATTAATTTTTAAGACACACAAGAAGAAGGCATAAAAGACTGGAGTGCAATAATATGATGGCATAAAATAAAGTCATTTTGTTAACCCGCTTGGGGGAAAAATTATTAATAAAAACACACTGACATATTGAAAATTTAAGTTAGAATTTCAGTAAGTATTGTAGATTACGATCTCATACATATTAAAATCAAAAACGATTCAGGTAAAATTATTTATTGACATTATTTGAAAAAAAAATTTTAAACAGATTGAAAAAACATAATTGAAATCAGTAATTGTTCTTGGAATACGAATTTCGAAATAACATTAGGATAATCAAATAAAACTCTTAGGACTCAGGCTCAAGACATTTGCCTAAGTACAAGCTGATGTGCAATTTATTTTATTTAGCAATTAATATAGTTGTTAATAAATCAATTTGACATTAGATGTGCACATTTTTAATTATAAATTAATTTCGAATTAAATAAATTTTTCACTGCGTAAATATGGCTTTATTAAATGTCATCATTATACAAAAAAATCGAATTAAAAATTTTTCAACTCTATGTTTTTTTTTTCAGTTTTCCATTTTTTTTTTGTGAAGTGAATTTTAATAAAATATTTTGTTCGCGTAAGTCGTTTGTTTTTTTTTTTTTTTGTAACGGTGAAAATTTTTTAATTTTGTTTTTTATTAAATTCCATTGTTTTTGTGATTTTTTTTTTTTTATTTTTTTGTTGTCTGCAAGTAGTCTTTTATCTTGAAAAGAAAAGTTAAGCAAGCCCTTTTCAGAGAAATTCTGAAACTGATTAAAATAAACACTATTTTTTGTTTGTTTGGTTTTTTTTCTAAATTCTTTCTACTTCAATATTGGAATTGAAAATTAAATTTTAACAAATCTGATTTTAAAATTATATTTCAACAATATTAGTACATAATTTAATTTTTGATTTATAATTGTTTATAGCTGATATATATACTGATGTCAAAGCATGTAACTCAAGTTAAAAAAGCTGCGGTTAAAACGCGAATTGTGTAGAAATAAGGGTATGTTTAGTGAAAATATTTGATTAAATTAAAGAAAACTTATAGCGTCTACCAAAAAACATCAAATTGACTTATTTAGTAGTTACAACAGTATACTGCTGAATAAGTTAAGTTGATGGTAGATTTACATTTTGAGTAGACTCCCTTATTCATTTAGCTCGTAAATAAAAATGAAGTGATAATAATAATTACAAACAATTAACAATTAATCAAATATGACAATAATTGTCATTTAATTGATAATCTTGTTTAAATCAATAATTTTTGTTGAGTGACATAAGACTTTACATCAGAAAATTTTTTTTATGGTATAGAAATATTTAAGAATTCTTCTTTCTTGCTGAAAAGAATATGGAACAGAAAATTAAAAACTTAATAATTTTTATAAATTAATTTAAAATAAAGAATTTAATTATAAATTCCAATTTGAAGCTTGAAGAAACAAAAAATTTACAAAAGAAACAAAAATAAATTAAATTTATTATTTTAAAATTCAAATTTTTAGAATTAAAAAAAAACATTTAATTTAATAATAAATTTAATATTTTTTTCTTTTTATAATATTTATTATTTTTTTTTTATTTATTTTTATATTTTGTAATTTTTTTTTATGGTTTTTTTATTTTTTTCATTTTGTTTGTTAGGAAAAAGCTTAAATACTCATTTTGTATTAATTTTCATTAAATTAATTAAATTGTTTATATAATTGTTTTTTCAATTTTGATGTGTGTATGTGTGTGTATTTTTTCATTATTATTTTTTAGTTTTTTTTTTTGTTGTTTATTATATGTTTTTATTAAATACAATAAATACTTTATAGTTTTTTTTTTAAATTAAATTTTAATTTATTTATATATGTATATATATACACATAATATATATATGAGTGTGTCTATAGCTAAACAGGCGTTTATTTTATATATGTATGTATATATATTATAATTTTTGTTTATATATCAAAACCATATTTATATTTATATATATATATATATATTATACATAAATAAAGATATATATTATGAATGTAATATATAAATTTATTTGTAGATATATACATATTATATAATAAGTTTAAGATGCATATAGGATTCGTGAAAAATCTTATATATTCAAGTATAATCAATATATATATATATATATATATATATATATATATATATATATATTGATTATATATATATTTATATATATATATATATATATTATATATATTATATATTATGCGTTAATGATGTATATATAACATTATTTTAATTATTATTTCGATATTCTTAATTTGTTTTGTCCTTTTTCATATATATATATATATATATTCATTTATGTATTTATTTATTTATCTTTTATTATACTTTGTTATTTATAATGACCATTGTTTTTTTTTTTATATAATTTATAATTTGTACATAATATATATATGTACAATATATATAAGGAATATAGGACGCGTTATTCAAAACTCTTAAAAGTTTAACAGTTTTAATTATTATATATTCATATTATTTATATTATATTTTAATATATGGTTTTAGTAGTGAAACATCTCTTATTATAATATTCCTCTTATTATAATATATATATATATATTTATGTTATATTAATGCAAATATATAAGTATTTATATTATATATAAATATATAACCGAATTTGAAGACTAAATAGGTATACAATTTTCATTTTGTATGTTTTTTTTTTTTGTTTTTTATTATTTTATAGTTTTGTAATTGGAATAAATTTAGAAAAAAAAACAAACTAAAAATAAAAAATAATACCTGAACAATAGAATTTTTTCGTATTATATAATAAAAAGACAACTTTAATTAAATTTATTTTCTAGTAAATAAGAAATAAATATTATTTTAGAGAGAATTTTATATTAATTACATACATTACATTTTTTTTTTATAATTAAAATTAAATTGCACTTTTTTTCCTTTTTAATAATAATAAAATAAAAAAACAAAAAAAAATATATATTTGGTATAAATTTATTATAAGGAGAATGACTAGCTTTTCGAAAATTTTAAATATCATTGTTAAATATCGTGATTATAGCACTTTAAAAATTAAAAATATCATTCGAGATTTAAATTGAGTTACTCATAAATTAAGGATTTCATCTTTAAATATTATGCTCTTGAATGCTCTCTTGTAATATCAAGTAAGAACGCTATTGATATTACTTTTAAAAGAAATATCCTAATTTTTTGGTAAAAATAATTTTGTATTAACTTATTCAGCAATTAAAATTGTATTGCTGAGTAAATCAAATATCAATCTGCATTTTGTTAAATGACCAAAAAAGTTTTCCTTTTTTAAAAATGATCTATTCAAAAAATCAAATGGTGAATAATTTAAATTGATATAAGGTCATTTAAAAGAATATAAAATATTCTTTTCATAGTTATAATATACATATAAAATATTTGCTAAAATAAAATAATATTAAAAATATTTACAATATTAAATAATTAAATAATTTTTCTAATAAAATATACATAAGTAATAAAAAAATTAAATAAAATTTTAAAATAAATCTAAAAATTCTTTTTGTTTTCTAATTTTTGTTTTTATACTTTATTCTAGAAACCTCTTGTTTTTTATATACCCGTCTCAAAAATGGGCTTCGTTTTGTTTTTATTTTTTCTTTATACAAATTTTATTTTTCTATATTTTTTTTTATCTAATTTTCTATTAAAGAATTTAAAAAAAAATAATATTTTTGTCATTTTTTCATTGAATGTCCTTGTTTCCTTTTTTTTGTTAAAAAACAATTTCCAAACAAATATTTTAAATAAAGTAAATAAAAAAATTCAAATAAATCTAAACAAAATCTAAAAGTTGTTGGAAAAATATCTTGTTCGACCCTTTTTAACCCACTTTTTTTTTTGTTTTAAATATTAAATTTTTTGTATTCTTAAGTTTTTTATAAAAAATTTTTTGTAATTTTTTAATAAATGTAGTTCGGTATTGCAAAAATTTTCTTAAATATCTCCTCTAAATATATATATATATATATATATATGTATTTGGTATGTATTTACTGTAAATTCTAGAATATTTAAAAAAAATAAATAACTCTGACATCAAAGTTGCAGTCAAACTTTATAAAATACACAATTAAGTTTATAAATTGTGTAGTTGCTGAATTGTGTAGCAATACAGTACATTAACTGCAATTTTGAATTTACGGTATTTTTTATAATTTTAAAAAAATTTAATAAATAATTTTTGAAAAAAAATTCTCTTTATTACGAACGTATGTAAAATTTAAACTAAATTAAATTAAAAAAAATATTAAATGAAATTATATATTTGTTTTTAAATTTATTTTAACTATATATAAATATATTTAGTGTAATACATTATAGAAATAAATATTTTGTTTATATATTATATATTTATGTTATTTAGTATATAGTGTTACATAATTATATATATGTATATATAATTTTAAAAAGTATATTATATAAAGTTTTTTTTTTCTTTTGTTAAATTGCAAATATCTAAGGGTTAATAATCAAAAAAATTAAACCATATTAAAATGTTGCTAAGTTTTCCACTAAAATATAAGAGATATCAGTTTTTGTTTTGAGAGTAAATTTTTTTTTTCTTTTATATATAAGTATATAATTTGTATATATAGAATTATATGAATTTATATTTTTCTTTATTTCTATATTATTTATGTATATTAGTTCATTTTTTCCTTTTTTTAAGAATATCTATATATATATGTATGTATATAGGTATATATATATAGGTATATAGAGATTTTATTTATATTATATATAATAAAGATAATAATGTCTTGTTTTTATTTTTTTGTTATTAATTTTCTTATTCTTCTTGTTAGCTTAGCTTAGCTTAAATATAAATTGGATTTTCTTGACCGGTTAATAGTCTAAACATTGATGTTGGCATTGTTTTCATTAATATCTAAAAAGAAAAATTAAAAAATTACAATCTTTTACAAATACTATGTAAATTATTCATATTTATAATTTATTACCTCGCCAACAGATGTCGCTAATAAATTAACAATTTTTTCATGTGGTACTGCTACCACGCTTTGATTATTTATTTCTATTATTCTATGTCCGACACGAACTCCACCTCTTTCAGCAATTCCACCACGTAATAAGCTACATATCTAAAAATAAAAAAAAAAATAATTAATATATGAATTAAAATGTGAGGTGTTATTAAAAAGATTTATCTATATACTTATATTAAATACAAAAACTTACCACTCCATTTTGAACACTAAAACCCAATTGATATTTTGTATTTGGTCGTTTTATTTTAACTTCAACAACTGGTGGGCATGGTACCACAGTAAATTTAACAACTGTTTGATTTTTTGTATTTTTTATATAAGTTTGACAAGTTGATAATGGAAGTCCAACTAAACTCATACCATTAATAGCAATTAATTGATCACCAATATTTAATTGACCACAACGAGCTGCAGCACCAGATGACATTAAATTAGCTATTACAACAGTTGGTAACATTGAACCCCAACCACTTTCAACAATAACAACCCCTAATATTTCACCTTTTGCTTTAGGTACAACCACTTCTTTTTGTAATTCTTTTTTAGCAAAAATTTCTAATTCATCACCAAATATTTCTTGACTATTTAATACTTCTTGATAATCCATTTCTTTAACAAAACTATGATCTTCAATTCCATTAGCTTTTAAAAATTCCATATATGCAACTTGAAATGCTTGTCCTATAGATTGAGCTATAAATTGTGCTTCATCACTTTCAAATACATGACATATCATTTTTGGTGTTCGATTTGGTTTTGGTCCATCATCAATATCTGATGGTACAAAACGTCGACGTGCCATTAAAACAACCAAATCACCAATATCTGCTATATAAGATATTGTACGTAAAGCATGATCCATCATAATTTCCTTAAGATCAGTATTTAAAACCATAATTTTTTCAGTTGATATGAATAAATCGACTTCTGTACTTGGTTGTGGATCTCCATCTGGTGCCTAATTTTGAAAAAAAATTTAATAATATAATTAATATTTATTTTTAATTTAAGATCATTTCTTATATAACATTAAAATTCTAACTGTACACAGTTATATTAAATGTTATAATTGAATAAATATTTTTTAACTTTATATGTATGTATAGCAATTTAAATATTGGAATCGAATGGGTGAAATGGTATTTTATATTTTTTTAATAAATACAATTCTTTTTTTTTTTTTTTTAATCAAGCATCATTAGCAAATTTTCTACTTACCAAAGCCTTTATAAAAGGATGAATCGATTATTTTTTTTTTTAATTTGAAATTATTGTAATCGGATCATTAAAGGAATGAAGATTTGAAAATAAAAATAAATTTGATTTCTTATTAATTTTTTAATAATAATTATTTTACATAAATTAAAAAATTAATTAAAATAAAAATAAATGGGCTATAAAAGCGATTGTACAATTAAATGAAAGCTTTTGTCAATAAAACTTTTACTAAAAATAGGATTAAAGATTTTAAAAGTGTAAATTTTTAATATGTTAATACTTTTGAATGTATAACAGAAATAATAATATTAATAATAAATAATTTACATATGACCCGTAACTGATTTGATTGCATAACGTTAGGCTGAAACAATTCTCAAAGTTCAAAAATTTGCTTAATTCACTGCCTATGTGGAATTCGATTTTAACTCAATTTGTGGTTTGCAGTTTCCACATGACCAAACTTCTTATACGCCTCACACATTTTTTCAAAATAAGTCATACCAGAGATAATGCTAATATCTCCAAATAAACTTGAATTTAATGTAGAATTTTTTCGTAAGGTTAATAAGCTATTAATATTTATAATTAATTTTAAAACTCTGTTGAACTTAAAAATTTTATATACCAATTTTTAGGGGCATTAACTTGCACTTAGTTCTATTTTTTTCATCCATAAAAAGTGATCTGCGATGTTAATATATAATGTATGAGTTGCACATATGTATGTACATATTTTGTTCCGTTTGCACAAGCATAAAGGTGTGTGCGCATGAGCATTATTCTTTACGAAAAAATGTGTGATAATTAAAGTCTCATATTTATAATATTCAATTTAAATTTTAATTTAATTAAAAATTTTTTCCATCAAAAAAAAAATTGGAAAGGATTTATTCACATATTTATATTTGTAGGAACTTATATGAGCTTGTTGGAGTTGTATAACACAGAGCATGTAAATATGCTAACCATTTTTCTTAATATATAAAAAGTTTTCACTTTATAAAATCTCCACTGATTATAAATTTAAATTTTGATTAAAAATTTACACATTTTAATTGCCTTTATTCCTTTTTCAATTGATTTTCATACACAATAAAATTTTTGTTATTATCAAACGTTATTAAAAAAAAAAAATATTAAAAGCGTTTAAAGAATTAAAAGGTAAAAAATTTAAATATAAATAAACTCATTTAATAATTGAAATTTATCCTTTTTCAAATTGATACGAGCGATAACAAAATTTAAAATCAGAACATGAGCTATAACTGAAGTAATAAATGAAGATCATTTAATGTAAATGTGTTAAGAAAATGTTAGCCAGCCATTTTTATTTGTAGTTTATGTGTTCTCTACTATTAAAAAATTAAATTATTGTTACCATACTGTACATATTTTCTTTTGTTTTAAACACATTCGATTTTCAATTAAATTTGCTACATCTAACACTAGGTTTTATTAGATAGCTCTCCATACAATTAAATATTATAGTACTTAAAATGCTTTTACAATGAACTTTACGTTCATTTCAATATGTTCGAGTCATAAACTCAAAATAATTTTAAATCTAAGTTTATAATGTGATATGCTCCTTAATTGTGAGAAAAAATATAACTGAACATAATAAATTTTAAGATTCCAAAACTACAATACAGTCAAACTATTTCCTAAAATATAATCTTTTAGAATAATACTATGGTTATTGAAATATTTTACAAAGAGCTATTTTAATTTTTAATGGAATTAACAAATTTTCCTTACGATATTTTCCTTAATAAAGTAATTTCATGATGGGATACTAATAAAAAAATATTCATTAATTTCTAAAACATGAACTCAAAATAATAATAAGCGTTTGAAAATCATTATTAAATTTTTTTCGAATTTACTAAGCTGATTTGTGGTTAACCCTTGGAAAAAAAATGAAATTTTTAAAGCGTAGAGCATTTTGTTTAAAATAATGTCTACTTTAAATTTTACACGCTGTCAAGAGCACAAATAAATGAATTCAAATTCATCTTCACAACCCAAAAATTGTAAAGACTTAATTTAATCAACACCTACTGTGGAGATTTTTTTATAACATAATACCATATAGGATATGGCAACACTTTTTAATATAAAAACACAATTAAAAGAAAAAATTTGAATAAAAAACAAATTGTTTTTCCAGGAAATTTTTTTCATAAAATTAAAAAAATATTTAAAGTGACCATATGATTTAAAATCGAATATGTTTATAAATTATGTACTTTGTTAAAGTGCAATAAACCTCAAATATGTTTTACCTATTGTTTTAATTAGATATATTAGTTATACATTCGACTATAGTAACCATTTTAAAGGTTTTAAAATAGTTTGTCTTAGAAATTGAATATATTTCTAGGCGTTTTACAATATACTTAGAAAAATTTATTGTAGGAACTAGTTTATATATTATTTATAAATTTTATTAAAAAAAATATATATTATTTTTAATAGATAATTATAACTACAAATTGTTAACATATACTTAGAACACACGCAAGTCTAGATTAAATTTTAACTGCTAGAAGTTAATAATAAGCAATTAAACAATGGGAGATGGTCTCACTAATTTAGAATTGTTAACAACATACCGGCAATTTTTTTTTTTTTCAATAATATAAATATTCTTATAGAGAACAACAAAGTGTGAAGAGTATTTTATTGTATGATAAGGTTAGGCGGGAAGACTGTCGACGGATATATTCGTGTATAAGAGGGGTAAGTGACTTTACACAATTAATACATCATCATACATTATTGAAAATTTCTTGTTGTAATGTTATTTTATATTTTATTATAGAAATTTTCAATAATTGACCTAGATGTAATATAAAATTAATATACATATGTACTAGCAAATTTAAATGCTAGTATACATATTTGAATTAACTTAATTTCTATGTGCCCACATACAGAAACAGAAGTCTATATCAAATACTTATTTGTTCATACTACATGCACATCACACAATTTATTTGGACTGAAATAAGAATAATATTTATTGTCCGAAATTCTTGGAATTGTGAACTAGACTCCAGACTGATATGTTTTGACAAAAATAAAATTAAAATTCCAAGAATTTGAAATCAAAATTTTTTTTATATGAGAATACTTATTTTAAGTATTTATATAAACAAATATATATACATATGTAAATAAGTATGTAATTATATGCATTGATTGTTTTGTAAATTTTAAATAAAAAATATATGACCATTATTAGAATTGTTTCAACAGGTTGTTTTGGGCTTTTTAATAAGGGCTGTTTACCTTTATACATACATAAAGACGGAAGTCTGTTGATATTAAATCTTATATGGTTTTATAAGGTTAACTAAATTTATTCTTCTTATAGTAACGCTGAGTGAAAACATGGCTTAAAAATTATATCAATCCCACCCAATTTTTGGCAAGAGTAAAATTATGTATACATAGAAATGTATATAATTTTTTATACAAACACATTCTCATTTTTATTGTTACGGTATATTCACGTTTTTTTCTTTTTATATTATGCTTTTTATAGATTTTCTTAGAATTTGGCGTTCATTTCTTAGAATCGGTTTGATTTGAGTAAAAAACGACGTAATCGAGGAATCTCTTCAATTCTTGGAAAAAAAGTCTTTTAATTTTTGCTGGTGGAAATTATAATTGAAATTTTTGCTGTCTTTCAAATTATTATTAGAAAAAAATTAATTATTAGTTTTTAAAGTTAAAGTTTTCTCTATCAATATTATAAAGGAAATGCAAAATTTTACAGATTTCAACTTTTTAGAATTATTTCAAAATTTGAATATTTCTGAAAGTGATTTGACTATAAATGGATTTTCATATCCAATTTATCAGGAAAATGGACAAAGAGCCGTTGGTCCAGTATATAAAAACGGACAAAAAATTAAAGGTCCAAAAAGATATGAGAATGAAGTAAGTTGATTTGATATTATTGAGACTACGCCCTGTTGTTGTTTAAATTTTTTTTTTTAATTTTTTACTTTTTTTTTTCATTTATAGATTTTTATAGATAAAATACCATGCTCTTGGTCTGAAAATAATTTAATGAATCTTTTGATGAAAGCTGGCGTCGTATATTTTTTGAGATTTTTAGTAAATTTTTCTGGTCAATCACGTGGAATAGCTTATGTACAATATCTAGGTGATACTCCACCATATATTATTGTTGGAAAGTAACTATCTACTCATTTACATATTTTTTCATTTTGAAACTAAATTTATTTTTTGTTATTAGATTGAATCATGTTTTTCGTATAACTGGAATAAAAATTTATGCGCAGATTAGTAAAAATTATCGTCGATTAAAAATTGGGAATATTTTACCAAAAATTCAAGATGAAAAAATTTCAATAATATTACAACAATTTGAATGTATTGAATCATATTCAGTTATAAGAGAAAATAAAAAAAAAAGTTGTATTTTATCGTTTGGGAATAATAGACAAGCATGTTTGGCAAGGCGTGTTCTACTATCACAATCAAGCATATTTGGGCCAAGTTCTTATGTTGTTTGGTTTGACAAACCAAAAAATAATGTGATGTAAAGTTCAGTTTTTTTTTTTTTTATTTTTGGAATAAGCTGAAATGATTTTCATTATGATGAAGAATTTATAAAATCAATAATATTATTAATTTTTAATTTTAATAAGTTTGACCATTTGCTGTAAGACAAAAGATTTAATCGAAGAGTTGAAGTGTGAAATGTAAATTTTTTTGTTTTGTATATTAATGATCATTTAAGTGTCAAGAATTAATCAAATAAGTAAAAAGTTCAGTATTAATTAAAATTATGCATATTGAATGATAAATTTAGTGTAGCATAAATTATGTAATACTTATGTAAAAAGTGGTTATGAATGAAATTATTCCACTAATTTTTTATTTATTTTTTATAATAAAATGAAATTTTTTGTGTAAAAAAAACTCTTTGTTTTAAGTACAATATAAACTGTAATTGCGAAAATATGCAGCTGTCAACAACAACAATGTGGAAAACTAATTTTCCGATTAGTACGATTTATGTAACCACTTTATAGATTACGATCTTATAATTTTACTTGTATGGTTTTAAAAGGCAAAGTTTTGGAATGGGGCTCGTATTTCTGCAATATCATTATATGCCAATAATAAATTATTATTGCATATTGTTAGGAGTTTACATATCTTGTCTCCAAAAAATATATAATAATAATTTAAGTAAATTTTGTATGTTATTCATAATTATTCAAGTATGTATATGCAATATTAATCAATTTTACGCTTAATAACAAGCATACTGATTTTCCACTCCACGTTAAAAGTAAAGTATGTATAAATGTTTATGCTTCGTTAAATATAAAATAAACGTTATTAAACTGTTAAATTAATTTAATTTTAAAATATAGCTGTCCACGATACTAAAATCTGGGAAGTTGTTCAAAATCGGCAGACAAAAAAAAATCTGACAGACAACTGCACGACACTGCACATAGTGTATATTTTCTGCAATTAGGAATGCAGGATATTACTTATTTAAATATTCATTTTAAAGGATAAATTTCAATTAAAATGTAAATTTATTCAAGCATTTTATATGTATGAAATATTTCAAGAGCTAAAATTTTAATAAAATAACTAGCTTTTCCGAATAACAAAAAAAAATACAATATTTAAGTAAAAAATTTAAAAGAAACACATATAGTATTTATATATAATAAATAAAAAAATGTTTTCTTACCTTTATTCTAGAAACAGCTTCTTCAGCTTGCATCATTCTTGTAGATTTAGTTGGTTGTCCTTCACATACTAATTGTGTAGAACCTAAATATCTAGCTCTAAATAGAACACCTTCAATTAACACTGCACCATCTAGCATTCGATATTTAATGCAATTTGACATTTATTTTGTTTTTGTATAATTTATTTTTACAGGAATGAAATAAATTGAATAAATAAAAAATTTTCAATTAATAAAAATTTGTCAAAAAATTGTTTTTATGAAAAAAAATTTCAAAAAATATATAAAAAAAAAATTATGTAATTTTGTAATTTAAAAAAATTTTTCTTACATCAAGTTTTTTTTTTTTACAATTTTTAGGTATTTTTTTTAATTTTTATTTTTTTTTTATAGCAGCACAGAATTTCAACAGTTTACAGTAACGAGCGCATGCAAATAAATATACAGAAAAATGTTAGCAACACTATATTATGTTTTGATTTTTTTGTTGTTATATTTTAGAGCTATTTGAGATAATAATAATAATTAATGTTTTTATATAATTATATAAAAGATTTTAATAAAATAATTAATATAATATTAAAATAATAAACAAAAAAAATAATATACAAATAAAATTATTAAATTTATTTCGCCCTGTTCTGAATTCCATTTGTTCCAAATTAAGTTGTAGAATTTCACCAAATTCTCAGAATTTCATTCTTAATTTTTTGAAATGAATAGAATGGAGAAAAGAACGAAATATATACATATATATATATATATATATTTAAATAATACAATAGAAAACTATTTTTTATGAAATTAAAATTAATAATTTATAATTAATAATAATTAATAATTTTGTTATAAAATGGGAAGTAAAGTATAATTTTGGTTGGATATTTAGCCTCTTAGATATCGATAATTTGAATTGAATAAATAAAAATAAAGAGAACAGAATAAATTATATAATTTTTCATTTTTTAAGTGTTTTGAAAATCTTCTTGTTATAAGCCAAATTTATTTAAGGATTAGCAAAATTTTGCTACAATTTTGCAGTTTTTCAGTAATCATCAGTATTCTTTAATAACTTTAATACACAAAATTATAGTCTGTATTATTGATATTATAATTTTAATAATAATCAATGAAGTTTTTTTTAATAATAGCAATATTAAATAAAATATTGGCATATAATTTCAGAATATAAGAGAAACATACTTAAAACATTACTATTTGAGTGTATACGAGTATTAATTAATCCCTTATAATTCCATTATTTTATTTAACAAATTATATGAAATAATCAAAATTAGGATTAAAAAAAAATATTTATTGAATTTTTTAATTCTAATGTTGAGTAAATTAATTTAAAAAAAATATATTACTTCCTTAATTATAATGTATACATATATAAAGAATAGTGATTTAACAGTGTGTTAAGATTTGTAACATCTTTTTTAATACAATATTGAGTGAAAAATGTACAATATACATAAGAATATAATTTATTATGAAACACATATACGTAATATAATATGAAATTTGAACTATGAATTATTATATATGTATATAGAAAATCTAAAGATAGAGTATATGGGCGTGTGTGAATAATGTATTTATAAATACAGTTTATGAATTTTACATGTAACAGTAAACTAAATTAATTTCTGTATTATTTTGTAAAGGTGGAGGGGGGAAAATTTTTAACGACGAAATTCTATGCTTCCATTTTTTTTTTGTAATCTAAAAGAAAAATTACTACAATTATTATTGTAATATACTAACAGTGTGAATTTTCTATATTATATAAACTATATAATTATTATATTTACATTATGTATTTATATTTACATAATTATAAGTTTTATAATGAATATTTGCTTAAGTGAAATGGTGTTGTTAAATCAAATCTTATTATACAAGAGTATACAAAGTTATTTCATTAAATATAAAATTATTTTCAATTTCTTACTATACGGCTGGTACCTACGAGTATAAACATTTACATTTTGTATTGTAAGAAAATAACAAAGACAAGTAATTTAGTAAAGGAAGAGCACAGAATGTTGAATCGAAGAGATACTCGTAAAATATAGTTCTTCAGCTATTAAAATATTATATGAGTAAATTAAAAAATATTGTATTAGTTCAAATATAATTTTGAGTACATAATATTTTACGTTTGGTAAGGAAGAAGAATGAAAACGGTAACGTCACAGTGTCGGAAATAAATAAATGTTAATTTTTCGTATATAATTTGTGGGTCGAACGTTGATGATTTGTTTGGTTCTTTTATAAAGTATTAATTACACAAGTTAGATATTTTTAGATTAGGCTGCTACCAGATCCAATATTAGATCCTATTTCTCGAAATTTTACTTCTACTATAAAATTCTCAATATTTATGCGAAAAGAGAAACATATTATACTGCTAATTATTACCGCTATTAAAGAATAAATAAAAAACGAAAATTTATATTATTTTAACTTAAATTTCTCTTTACATTCAAAAGAGAAAATATGAAATTTAAGAAAAATAATTAGTTAATAATTGCTTTCATTCATGATATTGCTGCTTTAAGAATTTCTAACTGATGATAATTTTTTAATTAAAGAATATTTTGATTGGAGCACTTACCTTTTAATTAGGCACAATTTTTAAACTAGATAAAATATTTGGCTTAAATTTGCTTGTGATTTCTGAGTTTTTTCAAATATTTTAGAATTTAATGATCTTTATATATTTACAATTAAAATCGATGTCACAAAATTATAGTTAAAACATAGTGTGATTATATATATGGAGTGTGAATTCAAATGATCGATATTTTTCATAATTTTACTAAAGTTTCTTTATACAGTGATAAATTTTAATTTTTTAAACTAATTTTATGATTGGGAAAAACCGAATACTTATTTACTTTTTTTTTCTTCTTCAAATTTTAATAATTTAAATAAAAACTATTAAATCAAATCAAAAAAAAAAAAAAAAAAGTAAGAAGATAAATCTTCAACCAAATTTACCTTCTTTATTCTTACTCTTTTTAGTTTTTTTATCGCTATCCTTTTTTGATTTATTAGATCCTTCGGGACTTTCTACCAAATTATTTTGAATATCATTTGATATTTTATCTGGTGATTTTTCACTATGTTCTGATGCTGATGACATTGAACCACCAATATCTAAAAGTTTAGCAGTTGTATTTTTTGTGACAGAAGATGACCCCAATAAGGTTGTTGACGATGATATATTATTTGTTGTTGATTGTGGTACAACTAATGTTGGTGTAAGTTGTTGTTGTTGTTGCTGTTGTTGTTGTGATTGCTGTTGTGTTTGTTGTTGTTGCTGTTGTTGTGACTGATGTTGAGATAATGATGGTGATGGAATTTCCGGCGTTGTTGGTAATAATGAATTTAAACCTTGTCTCAATAAACTTGATGTATTTGATTTACTACTTTGTTGAACTTTTGGTGAAAATTTTCCTAACAATGATCTTGATGATTTACGTTCATTCCATGCTTTATTTTCATCATAAAAACCTTGATCATCTAATCGTTGATGACCAAGTAAACGATCTGTTTCTAAATCTGTATCAACTTCTTCTTCATCGGCGCTTAAACTTTTTAAATGCGTTTCAGATGTTGAATCTTGTACAGTTAAATTTATTGATGGACTATTATTACTAATCAAATTCGAACAATTATTATTTTTTATTGAATTATTATTATTATTTTCTAAATGTCTAGGCACCCATATTGGTGAATCATTAGTTAAATTAAGACAAATACCAGAGCTGCCGCTACTAGTGCTACCGGTACCACCACCACTACCACCAATAATGACACCAGTTATATTAGAATTATTATTTAAAATACCATTTTCGTTAGCAATTAAAGGTGAAGTAGAATTACGATCTGGAATTGGAGGCGGTGGAGGTGGTGGTAAATGACTTCTTTGCTGACGTTCAGTATGATGAATATTATTATTAGATGTTGGAATTGATTTTGAACGTTGTTGCAAAACATTTGTTGCTGATGATGTACCCGTTGTTGGGCGATAATCTCGATTATTCAATAATGAAGAATTTGATGAAATTATTGGTGATGTTATGTGATCAATGTTTTGTTGTTGTGGCTGCTGTTGTTGTGACTGCTGTTGTGGTTGCTGTTGTTGTTGTGGAGAGTCATTACCTAATAAATTTGGTTTCCGATGTGGGGCTGGGGCTGGTGGAGGCGGTGTCAATTGAACTATATCTTGACGATGAAAAACACCTAAAATGATACAAGAAAATCAAAGTGAAATTTAAAATAAATTAATTATAAAACGAAAAATATTATATGGGAAATTATAATATTTTATTAATACTTACTAATCGAATATAATGAGTCTAAATCGGGATCAATATTTTTGAAAACTTTATTGCTATTGCTTGTCGTCAACGAATTTGTTAATGTTGATACTGTTGTTGTTGTTCCTGTCACATTTCCATTATTATTACAAGTATTTATAATGTTATTATTATTCATTATTGGGCTTTGCCCTAATATTTCACCACGTCTATTTGAACGAACTGAATCACGACCACTACAATTAATATTGTTGACTGCTGCTGAAGCAGCTGTTGATGTCAATGCTACTGGAATTGATGTTGTAGGAATTGATAATAAATCATCTTTATTTAATATTTTGATTGGACTAGTTGTATCGTTCAACATTTTAGATGTAAAAATATCATTCGGTGTTAATGTAATTTTTCTATTTTGTTGTTGCTGTTGTTGTTGTATTTCTGTTGCACCAGTAAATGTTGTTGTTGATGTAGTCGATGACGAAGTCGATATATTGGTTGTAGATAAATGTTGTGTTATAATTGGTCCTGAAGGATTATCACTAATTGTAATTCTTTTTGTATCCATTAACATTGAAATCCCTGTAGGTGGTTGAAGTTGTGGTAATTGCTGTTCAAGTGAGCGTTGTGTTTGTTGTTGATGTAATTGTTGATGTGATAATGAATTTGATGACGGAAGAGGATTATTATTTTCAGCATCAGATGCATGACCACTTGATAAACCATCTTCAAGTACTGGCATACTTGCAGCATAATATTTTGCATAATTTGAATAATTTGTAATTCCATTGAATTCACCCGATAAACCTATAATTAAGAATAATAAGAGAGCGAAAGAGAGAAAATTTAAAAGTTATACAATATTTTAAAAGAATTAAAAAAAAACCCAACTTACTATCTAGATCACCACAATTTGAATCATAATCAGTTGTTTCAGGTGAATATCGAAAATTTCTTGATTGGATACGATTTTGATTAATACCATCTTGCAATAAATTATCACATTGTAATTCACCACTACTGCGGCTAGTTGAATCCAAAAATAAATCAATGTCTGGTTGATGCTGATGATGTTGTAAATGATGATGATGATGATGTGAATGATGATCTAAATCTTTATCATAATTGTTTGATGCCATTAAACCATCAATACTAGCAATATCAATATTATCGGTAATGCTACCATTGTTACTATTATTGCCATTTCCAATTCCACTGCTATTATTATTATTATTATTATTGTTATTATTATTATTATTACGGTATGAAAGACCATTTAAATTTTCATTATTAATACCATCAATATCAATTATACCATCATTACTATCAAATTCATCAATATTTTCATCAATACTATTATTACAACTTAAATGATTATGAGCATTATGATGATTATTATCAACAATACCATTATAGTAGTTATTTTGATGGTGTTGTTGTTGTGGTTGCAGTTGTTGTTGCTGCTGCTGTTGCTGATGATGATGATGATGTGAATTTGGATGCGAAAGATCTATATTATCATCGTTATCATCATCAATATCAATATCGTCATCATCATCTAAATGTTGTTGTTGCGATTGATTAAGATGATTTGGAAAATCTGATGGATGATGATAATTTTCAATTGGGCTGCCAGCTAAACGTTGCCCAATATAATTATTTGTTGTTGTTTCTCTATTGTCTAATATATTATCAGTTCGAAATTCATACTGAATGTCCTTTTAAAGTTTTGAAGATTATAGAAGGGGAAAAATAAAGCAAAAAGAAAAACATATTTTGAATTTTTTCTGAAATAATCACATACCTTAAGGACTCAAGAGATTTAGTAAAAAAATTAAAAATATATTTATAAAAAGGCGTGCATATTAAGGTGTATACTTATGTAGTTATGTGTATTCTGTTATATTTAACATTATATTGTAATGTAACACGATAATAACAATGATATAAAAACTTTTACAGATATTTTGCAAAAAAAAAACCTTAAAAAGGAAGGAACAAATTTTACGAGGATAATTTTTTTTTTCTTGAAAAAAAAAGTTCTTACTTGCATTTTTGTGTTTCGATAAAATTTAGGGTGGCCAAATTTGCTAAATTCTGCAATTTGTATTAAAGGAATAACTGAAAACTTGAAATGGAACAAGCACAATATTTCAACACATTGCTCTGATATTTTGGATTTAGATTCGGAAGCAAAAATATTTTGCATACAACTCAAATCTCTTTGTTAATTAAGAACAAATTCCAAAAATTCATTTAGACACAACAAAATTACAAATCTATCACAATTTGTTTGCCTAAGGACTTTTTCGCATTAGGCATACCGAGTACAAACTTTTGGATAAATTAAGTGAAAATATCATCATCGTTGTTAAAAAATTTTTTAAAATATTTAAAAAGAAGAAACAACCGAATAAAAAAGAATCCTTTAAATGATGGAATCTAGAAGAATTATTTCACCTTTTTTTTATACTTCTTTTACTTTTCTTATTTTTATATTTGCACATTTTTTTTATTACCTGCCAGACACAGTTTACTCAACACAATGTAAGGAAAAAAGATACGGTGGTAATGGAAAAGAAGAAGAAGAAGAAAAAAAAAACAGAATTTGAAATTATAATAACAAAAGAATTTTTATGTAACAAGGATATAGGACACTTTTTCAACAAGACATTTTTTTTTAACTCTTTGTACTCTTGAATGTTACTTGCAATTTTATCTGCTTCTTTTTATTAGACTTTTGAGTTCTTTTATATTTTTCCGACATTAATGGAGAATAATGTGAGCAAAATTAAAATAATGCGAGCAGTAAACAGCTAAGGCCTTCTTTTTGCAGTCATAATGTTTAAGGTGTGTTTAACTAAAATAGTGTCAAATCCATTTTCACGGCTATAATTTAGAGCAGAAATATCTCGATATCTTTGGATTTAGATTACTTTCACAAATACTGTAGAATCTACAAATAATTGAATTTCGGAATAATTGAATTTACAAGAAACTCAAGATTTCCATAATTTTCTATTTTCGAATTTGACTTATTAATTAATCCTTTAATATAGTGGAATCAATTATTATAAAATATAATTAAATTAGGAAAATTACGTGCTATAGTTTTTCTTCATTTTATGTAATATAGTCAAGCTTGAATAAGTATTTCTTGCTTAGCCATGTAACTTCTTTTGAAGCCTAGTTTATAGAAATTCCGCGCTATTTTTCTTTTTCAATTCCTTTATTAAAAACCTTTTCAATTAGTTTGTTCCATATCGAATTAGTTGCCAGTATTTGGCTTGAAAGCCAAAAATATATATATTTTTTTTTTTAATTTATTTGGTTTTATTAAATAAGAGTTCTACTGTATTACGAGTATTTTATTTTTAGTTTATTTTTAAATGTTTTTAAGAGAAAGATGCGAAGTGAAATCTAGGAATTTATTGTAGAGAATATTTAATTCTTGTTTACTCAGTTTTTTTCTTTTCCTTGTTTTTTACATTTTTTGATTATTAAAATGGCGATGAAAATGTTTTTGCTTCAAAGTGTTTAAATAGAAAATTGTGTGCAAAAAAATTGGGCAAAGTGAAGTAAATTATGAGAAAAGAAAAATTATGATATTATCGCTCCCCTCTTATACTTATGAAATTCCATTTATCCAAAGATGAAGGAAAATTAATTACTTAAATATAAGAGGTAAGAGAGATTTTATTTTTCAAGTACTATATGGGTAAGAACATGTAGATATGTATGTATATGTATTAGAGTTTCATCTGAGTAGATTTTGTTATTAATAACTGTATGAAATCTTTTTGGCAGGAATTTTAAGATATCATTTTTTAAGAAAATTTTAAATAAAAATTTTCTTTCAGTAGGATTTATATCATTTTGAAACAATTGCGGTAATATATATATAATATACAATTAGGTGTTCGAGATTCGATGAAAATTCTGAATTAATGCAATGTGATGCGATAAAAAAAGGTTCCTTTTTTGTCCTTATCCCTTTTCGAGTTAAAAATTTACAAAATTAATTTCCCTGAAAAGTATTCTTATTTTACGTCATTTAAAGTGAATATTTCATTCTAAACCCTGATTCTATATTCAAATATTTGATATTGAAGGAAACAATTACGAAAAATCGCTTTGAAAACGAAAGCTATCAAAAGCGTTAAGAAACTAGTTGCTGTACCCGATGAAGCTATGATGTGTTCCAATGCCTATATTTTGCACTTTAACTTATATGATTGCTGACAATATAAGCTTATATATTTATGGAATTTTTCACATTTCATTTTTAAGGAAGCACATAAAATACGAAAGGTAAATTTCTAAGCGGCGATCAAGGAATTGTATTGAAAATTTGAGTTTGAACTGAATTTTCGGACGGATCAAGTTCAAATCAAAGTTTTATTAATCGAAATAATTTCATACAAGTATATTATAAATTTAACTGGAATGGGGTATGGGTTTAGGGGCTTTACTATGTAATTGGATTTTCGTGAAATAATTTTGATATTTGTAGAAATGGATAGGTAGTACTGTACAAATTGATTGGTACTACCTTATCATTTTTCCGAATACGAAAATCGAGTTATGTAGTAAAGCCCCAGGTTTAAATCTAGTTCGAAGCACTATTAAAGCTTTATTAAAGTATATATAACCATAAATTAATCTCGATAATGTTAATAAAAATTGGTAAATTCAATTCATTTTACTTATATGAAGCCTTTACGATCAATCATATTTTGACAAATCACTTTTAAAAGCATGCTTTTCATTTGCTATTCTTTAGAAATAGTAAATATGTTTTCTTTTTTCTGTGAATAGCTTTCTAAGGTGACACACTATGTATATAAATAGATCAGTGCACATTTACTAACAATTCTATCAATAAGTTTTTCAACGACATCCTCAACAGGAATCAATTCTAGAAATACCGACATAGGTGAACATAAAGATATAAATGTGTGTGTAAAATTCATCGGTTGCTTTGTAAAATATTCAAGGATGCGTTAACAAAAAAGAAATTTTTCAACATTTTTCTTTATATAGTTAAGAGAATAGCACTAAATTTGATAATGTTGTCGAAGGGAAATTTTTCAACAAAAAAGGAAAAGGAAAAAAATATTAGCATAAAAAAAGGATAAAAACTTCAAAAAAATTACATATATATAAAAAAATGTGGTTTCTCTCTCATTTTCATTCATTTTCAATATTATTACTATAGTGTTTAGTGTAAAACCTTTTTAAGTTGAAAAGAACAAATGAACCCTCAAATCTTTAGTTTGAACAAAAAACCCAACAAATAAAATTACAAAAATTGTACACACTATATAGGTGTTAGATACAATTTTTATATTGAGGAACTTAACATTCTAAAGTATCATTAACCTAGTCGTCTCTTATTTTATTGAACATCGACCCCTAAAAACTATTTATGTATATATTTTTTTTAAATCTATTTAAAAAAAATATATAAACGATATCTATCTATATATATATATACACATATATAATATTAAATATAAACTTACAATACTGTCAACATCACTTCCATTTTCAATTGGTTTTTCATCATTTGATGGGCACTTAAAGAACTCTTCAAGAACTTTTCGTGTTTCACTAAATTCATACAGGTAGTCAAAGGTTGATGACTTTGGTGGCTCAGATGTTGTCATATCTGATGATGTGCCAATTTCAGATACATCATTACTAGTATCTTCAGCATTATTTGATTGCTGTTTTGTTAATAATGGTGGTGGAGATTCTTGAGGTGTTGAAATGATTCGCTATATTTTATATATATATATAAAAAAAAATGGGAATAAGAAAAAAATTTACACATACAAAATTAAAAAAAAAAAAACAAAAAAACTATGTATATATAGAAAAATAAGAAAAAATTTTAAATGGGAATTTTAAAATCATTTGAAAATTGAGTATCTATAAAAAGACAAAAGGAAAACAAAAACGGATAGATTGCACTTAAAATTAAATGCACACATTTTATGAGTACATTTTACGTACGCATACAAACACTAAGCACAATATTCATAACAGAAACAAACAAATTGTTGAAATAGGTTGTTAATTGTGGTCGGTGAGAGGGGGGCGGAGCGGGTGCAAAGGTAAGGTAGCACTGATAGGGTGGGTAGGACTGGGTAAAAAAATTTTTATTTACAAAATTATTAGTAATTAGTACTGAAATTATTTGGCAGCAACTCGAAAAAAAACGACATTTTTTATATTTTGAAGCTGAGCACATCAACCATTTGAATGAAAGTTAGTGATCATTTGGCTATGTCAGATATAAAATGTACGAAAACCTTTACATTTTCACAAAAAATGCTAAAGCTTTGTACATTCCGAACCAAAAATTTTGATTTTAAATTAAATTTTATATAACCACTTAATTTGATCATATAGCCTTTGCCGATTTAATATTCAAAAGCCTAGTTTTATGTTAATTTTCGGTTTTTGTCAGCCGGAATATCATCAATTACACATTGATTGCTATTTCCAAAGCTTCAATTAACTCGGTATTGCCGATAAACATAAGAAATTTTATGTACCCTCTGAGAATTAAGGGGCGTAATTTGTAAGTTTACATATTCTTAATTTTATTTTCTTAGATATTATTAACAGTTTGTAACGTTATTCGTGAATCACTCCATTCTCTATTCAAAACAAACAAAAGAGAGTAAAATTTGACGTTCACAGCAGTTACTAGTAGGCAGCAATAAATAAGGGCAGTAAAATCAAAGAGCAAGAAATTCATTGGTTTTAATTTGGAATTAATTCAATATTTTAAATACGGAAGTTTTCGAAGCACTCTGTATAAAATATTACCTATGTAAATATAAAGTATCTGTGAAGAGATGAAAATTATTGTTAAATAAATATAACAAATTTTAAAAGCATATAAGATTAAGGCAACCGGATGTAAATAGTTTTCTAGCAAAAAAGAAAAAAATTTAAAATTATTTCTCTCTCTATCTCTCTTGACTTCATTGAACCGCACATAAACCGCTCAAGGTAACCCGAAAAATAAAAAAAACCTATTCTTTTTATCTTAAATTTTTTTTTTTTTATTTATATACCATTATGTGTGTGTGGTTATGTTGTTTGTTGTTCATGTTCATTACTAACTCTTATTATTTATACCTGGAGTATTTTTTAGTATTATGATGTAAAAATATCTGATTGATGTGCGATTTTGATTATACGATATTGTAAAAGTTATGGTTCTCTGTACTCTTAAATGTGTGTATATAAAAAAGAACTTATTAAAAAGAGCAAAAGAAAATAAATTTTCCTGTATCCTATTGAGGTTTTACTTCTTTTGCATATAAATTAAGAAGAAGAAGAAGGACCCCATATGGTAAAGCTATTTTCTAATACATAATAAAAATAATAATAATAATAAATAAAAAAAAGAACATAAATAATATTTATATAATAAATAAACGAAGTAAGAAGAAGAAAAAATTACAAAACAAAAGAGCATATAAAAGATAAAAAGGGAGAGGTAAATAGGAAATTGTTTTTTTCTTAAAAACTCTCTTCTTCTTTTGATTGTGTGTGACTAAGTACAGGTATTGGGTATCAATAGAAAAGTTGATTTATTATACCCTGCACTTCGTGAAGGGTATATTAACTTTGGTATGGAGTTTGTAACTACTTGAAGGAGTCATCTGCGGTATGGACATATATATATATTCTTGCTCAGCGTAAAATTCTGCGTCGATTTAGACATGTCCGTCTGTCCGTCCGTCCGTCCGTCCGTCCGTCCGTCCGTCCGTCCGTCCGTCCGATCGCACGATAACTCAAAAACGAATAATGCTATCGACACCAAACTTTCACAAGTTTTTTCTTTTGTGCCAAGGACGAGCCCTATTGTTATTGGACTAATTCGGACAACGGGTTCGGGTAGCTGCCATACAACTCAAAGAGTTTATTTTAAATATTTCAAAAACTAATAAAGCTATAAATATAAAATTTTGTATATATGTGTCCAATTATATTCTACACATGATCTAAAAATTAGAATGGGATAGCTGCACCGGTTCGGGTGGCTGCCATACAACTCCAACAGCAAAATTTTTTATATTCGGCAAAATAATAAAGTCAGATTCATGAAACTTGGCAGTCATGTGTCCAATTATAGGTCAAATATGCTTCTGAAGTTTTAGAGGAATTGCTTTACAGGTTCGGGTACCTGCCATACAACTCCAGAAGCTAATTTTAAATATTTGGGAAAATAATAAAGTCAGATTCATGAAACTTGGCAGTTGGATGTCCGATTATAGATCAGATATATTTGTGAAGTTTTAGAGGAAATGCTTGACAGGTTCGGGTACCTGCCATACAACTCCAGAAGCTAATTTTAAATATTTGGAAATATAATAAAGTCAGATTCATGAAACTTGGCAGTTTTGTGTCGAGTTATAGGTCAGATATATTTCTGAAGTTTTAGTGGAATTGCTTGACAGGTTCGAGTAGCTCCCATACAAATCTAAAAGCTTATTTTAAAAATTTGGAAAAATAATAAAGTCAGATTCATGAGACTTGGCAGTCGTGTGTCCAATTACAGGTCAGACATATTTCTAAAGTTTTAATGGGATTGCTTGACAGGTTCGAGTAGCTCCCATACAAGTCTTAAAGCTTATTCTTAATATTTGGAAAAATAATAAAGTCAGATCCATGAAACTTGGCAGTTGTGTGTCCGATTATAGATCAGATATATTTGTGAAGTTTTGATGGAATTGTTTGACAGGTTCAGGTACTTGCCATACAACTCCAAAAGCTAATTTTAAATATTTGGAAAAATTATAAAGTCAGATTCATGAAACTTGGCAGTCGGATGTCCAATTATAGGTCAGACATATCCGTGAAGTTTCTATAGAATGACTTCACAGGTTCGAGTAATTGCTACACAATAACGAAAGGTGCAGGGTATAATTCAATCGGTTTATACCGACTGAAACGTTTTTACTTGTTTTAAATTGATTTGACTTTTTATGTATAGTTTATTTTTATGAGAAAATTTAATTCTTTGATGAAAATTACTTAGAAAATATTTGTGGGTATTATAGCAGTATAAGTTGCGTAAATGTATAAAGGAATGTTATAAAGTGTCCTTCTTATTCAGGTTTTTTTATATCCTTTTTCAATAAATTTCCTAGAATTTTTTAAATTGAATCTTATGATTGTAGCTTTAGTATTCTAGAATTTAAACTTTTAAATGAAATGTTGATTTACGTGGGTATCAACCTGAAATGGGGTTTATATTTAAATTTAGATATGTTTTTTAGTTAAATTATTTCAGTTATAATTAATTAAATTATTTTTGTATAATTTAATAAAGTTTCATGGTTAAATTCTTCAGCTTTCAAGATTAATGAATTTGAAGTACAAAAGTAGAATTGCGAATAATTTTTTAAGTCCTTCGTAGCTCAATTAGTATGATATGCACGTAGAAAGCATTAGGTGATTGGAAAAGTATTTTTTAATTTCGTGGCCTCTGCACTCATTTCTTTGAAATGGATATTCATAAGTTATATTATCTAGAAAATTTCTTGTTCCGAATCGACTCAATCAAACTAATAATTCAAAAATCTCTCAAAAATTCAGAAACAGTTCAGAAATAAAAAGTTCCTGTCGCAAATTTTACACAAACGAATTTAGTATTATAGCCGCTATTCTGAGAAGAATTCGTAAAAGTTGCTAGAGTAATTTTTTGTCAATTATCAAACAAAAATCAACTCCACAAATTTTTCAGTTTTTGTTGTAGGAATATTCATTAAGAGAGTTGTAAAACCTACTTCTTCTGTTTTATGGAATTGATATAGTTTTAAAGTATAAGCCGTATTAAGTGAAACAGAGTTTAAATTTTTAAAGTCTTAGAAATTTCAGAAATTTTGTACGCTTTTCAATTACAATTGTATACAATAAAATATGAAAAGTATTTGAATTCGAATTTGTAAAATAATAAAATATAAAATTACCTGTGGAAACCCTGGTCTTGCCGGATACATTGATTGCTGTTGTTGTTGCTGTTGTTGCTGCTGCTGCTGCTGTTGTTGTTGCTGCTGCTGTTGTTGATGATGACTATTATTGGAAGATAATTTACCATTTAAATTATGTTGGTACAATTGCATTGATTGATTATTATCAATATCTTCTTCTTCTTCTTCTTCTTCCTCTTCTTCAATTTCATCGTCACCATCTTCATCATCAGGAGTATTTTGTCCGCCAATACGTCTTGGTGAACCCTCGTATTCTAAATTATTTACAATATTTTCATATTGTACGATTTCATTGTGGGTATATATATTTTTTTTATTTATTTTTAAAAAAGTATAAGATTAAATTGGTAAAATTATTTTTTGATTTTTTTTTTTGTTTGTTAAATGATGATGAATTGCATATGTATTAGGCGTTAATAATGATAAAAACGAAATCGATGAGTGGAAAATTACAATGAAATAGAAAAAAAAAACCGAAATTGGTGGAAAAATAATAATGGGAGAAAAACAATAATAGAAAAGAAAAGTAAAGAATTAATAAAAAGTTAGAAAGTTAATTAAAAAGCATTGTTTTTGTATGTGTTTGTGTATATATAAAAGCAATTCACGTATTCTATTATTTGAATTGTATCTTATAAAGTATAGAAACCGTAAAGGTTGTAAATATTTGCATGGGCGTTAGCAGAAACTTTGCTATTTATAGAAACTAAAAATAATTTTTAATAAATACGAAATAATTTTTTTTTTAGGACATTTAAGACTTTAGCCTCACTGATATCAGAAGTGCAGTAAAACTGTACAATTAGCAGTTCTTCACAATTCAGCTTAAAATTCAGATTGATTCTCAGGATTTTTATCGTAAAACTATGTATGTTTCTATAAGAGTCAGCTAAGAAAATTACAGTTTATTAGAAACAATAATGCAAATTTAATGATCTTAAGCGAAAAGTCTAAATAATTTTTTCTCAATAGCGTTAATGAATATTGTTTCTAGCGATACCCATGCATTTTTTTACACAAATGCGAATATATTTTATTTGTTCGATTGTATTTTAAATAAACATAATAATATAGTTTTTTTTTAAGTTTAGCATTCAAATAATTAATTTGTATATTTAAATATTACCCATAATTCCATGTTTAGCATCTATTAATCTTCCAAATGTTCTATCTAAATATTTTCTATTATTATTATTACTTTTACTGTTATTGTTACATTTACTGTTACTATTTGAATTACTTATATTTTTATTATTATTCGAATTTTTATAATTATTTTCATATTTTATATTATTTATATCATAATTATTATCATAATTATTCTCTAAGCATTCATCTTTAATATTTGCTACTGTTAATGGGCTATGATCGGATGTAACACGTAAATCTGAAAGAGGAGAAACTATAAATAAAGATGGAGATCTTTAGAAAAATCTTTGGAAAAAACTTTTGTATAAATATTATTGTGTTTTGTTTTTTTTTTGTTTCTTTTGTTGTATTTATTTAGTTTTTAATTAAAGGTATCCTATATAATTAATCTATCAATTTGAAAAAAAAAAAAAAAATTATTAAGGTTAATCAAGATTAAAAATGTAAGGTTGAAAGGAGTTCATTTCATAAAATGATTATCAAAAAACAAAAAACCAATAATTAAAGTTGTATATATAGGATTAAGGGTACGAATTTATAGGAAGAAGTGACGTAGTACGTTTAATATTAATTAAAAATGCAGACAAGTTTTAATTGAATGTTTAAACACATTTGCGAGATTAAGTTATGTGTACTTTATATGCAGTTAATATAGGATATTACTTTTAAAGTATGCATCTTATTAGGCTGAATACAATGCAGGGCTGATAAAAGCAATTATTATAGAATTATAGTAATTAAGACCAGAAATACGGTGTTATAGGCGTATAATTATAAGAAAATTATTTTAAAGATGATCGTTTATTGTTCCAATTTCGTGTATGTTATTTAGTTCAATATAGACTCATATTAATAAAAAGTAACGTTATAATTGGTTATGTTTGTGTCGCGGCTTATAACTTTTAAAATTTCTTACAGAGAAGGCAAGTTTTACCTTACAACAACGTAATAAAAGAATTCTTGTATTTTATAGGTATACAAGTAGAAGTAAATTTAATTATATATAAAATTTTACTATTGTTGGGTTTTAGTAGTGTTGTAAAGGAAAATTGTTGTTTTCTTTCATTGAAAATTCTAAAATTTGGATAGTACGAATTCATGTTTAAAATATTTGAATTGCATTTGCATTGAATGGAATAAAAATGAATCTTTTCATACTATCTTCATGTAATGTTCTCTTACAATTATAATAAAAGTTATAAATTTGAAATTCTAACCTAAAATTATAGTCCTTTAATCCGCACTAAACAAAATGGTTTCTTTGTATTTTTTCGTAGAAAATTAAATTAAAGGTTTTTTATAGGAAAAATAAAGGAATGTTATAAATTTCTTTTTATAATCCTATTTCCAACGTGGTTTACAATATCCAGGGAATAAGGTCCGATATGACAAAACCGGAAAGGCTGGAAAGCGTGAAAACAATTTTTCCTTACAAAAGCGCTTTCTATTAATTGAAATTTTTAAGCGTATTATAGAAATTAAAACAAGTTGGCTACAGCAGTTTCCAAGAGGCAATTGCAATTTTTTGGTATAAACTTATATCGATTTCGAGAGCAAAATTTTGAAATATTTCAAATAGTTAATATAGAAATATATTTTATTGAAAAAAAATAAACTTGAAATACGAAAAAACCTTAATAAATTGGCATCATTGCCTAAGTAACTGATCAAAATTATTAATTACAAATCTGTTCAAAAAATATTTAAAATTAAATAAATTTAAATTATCCTTAAATTAAATTCATGAAATATTACCCTAAACATTTTTGACCAACGAAATTTTTAATCATTTTAAAAAAATCTTTTCGAATCCTTCTTTTCCTTATAATTTCTTTCTTTTTAATTTTTACTCAATTGAATGAGTTTTTCTATAAATTCTCAAAATTAAAAAAAAAAAATTAAACGTATAAAAATGACAAAATTAAGAAAAAAAAACATAAAAAACCCTTTTTTCTTAATCATATATGTGAGATTCTCTATCAAAGGCGAGGAAACAAAAAAAATTAAATAAAAAGAGGAGGAAATTAAGGATCCACTCGAAATTTTGGACTTTCTTTCCTATTTTCCCATATAAAGAAAAGTCATAAGAAACTATTTAAAATAAGACGATTATAAAAAAGATTTAATTTCCAAAGAAAATTTAAGTATTTAAGGATCGGTAAGGAAACATTAAAAATTTAAAGATGGAAGTGGTAAATTTGAGAAAAATAGAAAAAAAAGAGATGTGTTAATAGAGTTTATCTCAAAATAAGTTATTGAAGAAAAAAAAAATTTCTTCGAATTTTTCACACTTTCAAATTTCTATGGAATTTTTTGAATATCCTTTTGGTCCTCACATATATTTTTCAAATGTGTTTGTAATAATGCAAAACTGTAGTTTTATAAGTTGTAAATTGTAATAATCAGATCAATTTAGATTGCAAAATATTATGTAACAGTACATTAACTAGGACTTTATTTTATTAGAACAAAAAAAAGAAACAGAAAAAGAAAAATGGTGAACAATAATGGCAAAATTGCTTCATTTTTTTTACATTTTACAAGGATTTTCAATATTAAGTAATGTTATGAGGTGGAAAATTTTATGCAAAATGTAAATATTTAGCTTCTATTAAATATTATCATTTCCCATGTATATACATACATATATGATATACTGTCAATTCCTAGCAATATGTATATGAGAACATAATGGGGCAAAATGAAGAGAAATAGAGAGAAAAATCATTTAACATAATCTGTTTATGACAACAACAAATGACTTGAATAATTTTTATAGATTAAAAGTTTTATAAGAAAAAGAACAACAAAAAAAAATTTAAGTCATAAAGAGAAATATTTTTATTAGAAAAATAATAAAGAGCAGCAAAGACAGAGCAGTAAAATAATTCGGTTGTAATTTGAAACCAAATACGAACATTCTAACATACAATTGAGTTTAACTGGGTTCGGATTAATAAAAATTCAGTACAATAGTATCTAAGATTTTTTTCTGAAAATTTTCTTATATTTTAAGAATTTTTTATTTCTTTTTGTTATACAATTCTCTGTTGGTCTAGTGCATGGAATTCGTATGGATAACCAGGCGGGGGCCCCTCTCTCTTACTACAACTACTACTATACAATTTATTGAATTGTTATACAAGGAATTCCATTCAATGAAATATACATTTTCGTAAAATTGCATGTAATAATTCAAAAGCAGCCATTGTAAATTATTTTTCGTGTAAATTCTTCTCGTTCAGTTTGATTTTTAATAAACCAAATATTAAATAGTATTTTTGTTCAACAAAATCTTAAGATCATCATAGTTAAAAATATTTAAAATTGTTCATTGCAAAATAAAATCGTAATGAGCTGGTGCAGGAATACAGGGCGCAATGTTTCTCATTTCAAATAAAATGTGTTGGGAAGAAAAAATATTGTTTCTGATTGAGATTTCTAGCACTGTAAATTTAAGATATTAATTACGAAATTTCTATTTTAAGTTACAACGAAAAAGCAAATGGAAAAAGTTACAAATTTTTAAAAAATTTCGTCTATTTTTTGATCCGGAAGGATTTTTGTTCATCAAAATTTTCTCAAAGTTTCACATACAAATTAAAAAATTAATTTCTTATGTATTTAGTACTGAAAAAAAGGTCTAATTTTTTGCCTTTTATTTAAGGACAACCATAAGCTATTCTATAAACTTTTAAAGAAGATTATTTAAATTTGGAAATAAAATTAAATTTAAGTTCTCTTTAAAAAAGAATTTATAAACAAAAACAATTTATTTTTATCCAGAAATTTCAAATATTTGAAGAAATGAAAAAAATTAAATTTATAAAATTTTTAAAAAGTTTTCGGAAATTAAATTTAAATTAATGAGATTATTCTTTTAGATCAAAAAATTTAGAAAAATAAAAAATTCTCATATAATTTAGTTATAGAAAATTAAGAACGTGATACGAGACAAGGGTTAAAAAAGTGTGCGTAATATTGGGTGATTTTTAAAGTGTTTGTTTTTTTTAAAATTTGAAATTAATTTTTGTTAAATTTATTTTAAATTTGAAAATTTTATTTGAAGCGATTGGTTTCGTTGTCATATATGTTAATATTGATCACAATTAAATTTTAAAGTTTTCGTTCGAAATTTGGGCTATTATTCGCGTATTTCGGGTCAAATATCACAATTAATACGATTACATTTAGTTAACATAAATAAGAAATAGTAAAAACAAGACATAAGGTGTTTGATATAAAAATTTTTTCTCCTATTCCCAAACATATTTTTAGCTTGGAATAAGGCAAATTAAATTAAATCGATTTGATGTTAAAAACTTTAATAAATTAAACGTGATAGCAAACGTGAATTAAACGTGTCTAATATTAAAACAGCTTCTTGGATATTAAAGAAAGGAATAAAAATATCCGATATAATTTCTTTAAGGAGACAATTTTTCCTTATTAAGCATTACACGAGTAATGTAAATATTGCTTAATTCTAGAGTTTTTTTTTTATAAAAATCTTCAATAACTATGGATGGTATAACAATTCAACTTCTATTCTAAAAAACCTATTTTAATAATAAATAAAGTGACCTTTGTCCATGAGATCAGGCACAATATACTAAACATTTTCATTCTCATCAGAGCAAATTTTTTGTAAATTTTAATTGTTGTCTAGTAGAAATTCATATGCAACATTGATTTTTGTAATCGGAAAAAAAAAATTGAATATTCAACAATAATTATTATGTAAATTTGATTTTTTCTTTTAAAATGTATGAATGAACTTCTGCAAATTTTAAGATTTACATATAAAGTAATTTTTTACGTACATTTTTTTTTTTAAAAAAAATCTTATTAATTTATTCATTAATGTCATTTATCTCGAAATGTTATACGATAATTATAAAAGAGTATAATTAAATATTCTGAATTATTATAGAATAAAAAAAAAAAATAAAATATAAATTTATGAAATTATTTTTAATGGCATTTTATAATTACAGATTTGCAAGTTGAATAATTTATAATATTGCAATTTTGTTATTTCTTTGGAATCATAGAATGGAACTCTGAAAACTCTTTAAAATTAAATTGTCAGAATTTCTTAAGAAATAAATTTTATATATTTTTGAAAACTTTAATTAAAATCAAGTTATAAGCAGAACACTATTTACTCATAACAACAAAATATGAGTTGTTCATTGCAATAAATTAAGGATAAAGCAAAATTCTGTATACCAATTTTAAAATTATTCGGATTTAATTTGTCTGCCATTCGAATTAAAAACATTTACAGAATTTATTTTTAAAAATTATTTTTTAATAAGTTTTAATTCACATTTAAATACTAAAATTCATTTAATATTTATAAGTTTCTTCAATAATCATTTTTTCAGGTATTGACTGAAAACTTCTATGACTTTGAAATATATAAGTATACATAAAATATACATTCAAACAAATGTAATGGAAAAATTAAAGTTTTCTAATTAACCTCGAAAGTTTTCTTTTTTATATAATTTTCTTGACTTCTTCTTCTTCTTCTTCTGAACTATCGTATAACAACTTTGATTGTTGATTTTCCATTTAATTTTAATTTCTTCTGATATAGTTTTCATTGCGAAATGTAAAGTTTTGGATTTCTTAAAAATATTTGTTTATGTGAAAATATTTTAAAATTTAAGTACATATTGCTATACTTGAAAACTTTCTATATCCACTTCATTTTTAAAAGTAAAGATGTGAAATTTTCATATTTTATACTTTTGATGCAAAATTTTCATATTCTAAAAGTATGTTGTTTAAAAAGAATTTAGTTTAGAATGTTAATTACTTATTAAAAGTAAATAAAAATATTGTAGGAATTTTTAATTTTTATAAATTTAATGAATTCGAAGTGAACCAATAATTGTTTTCCTTAAATAAGGAATACGTTTTAAAACAAGGCGAATAGAAATACTCTTATTGCATATTTTAAGGAGTAAAAATGTAATTAACGGATGCAATAACATGGAATTGTATATAGTTAATTAGGTTAATTAAAAAATATACAAATATATTTATTGATAAGAAAATTTTTGTCGTAACTTTTCTGTTTTTATAAATATTGAATGAAAAATGAAGCATTTGTAAATGTTTTGAAGCTGACAAACATCTTAAATATCAGATTACTCGCTTTCTTTTCGTATTTGTGAGATTTAAAAGATGATCGTGATTTTGATATTTTAATCGAATGATATTAATTGGAATTTTAAGAATTTCATGAGAAACCATAACATTTCCAGGGGAAATTATAAATGGGAATATCTAAATGAGTTTTTCTCAATTAATCTTTGGACTATGAACCCTGAATGAAAGTATAGCATCATAAGAGAAATTTATCAGCAGTTGCTATTGGGTGATCTTAATTCATATAATTATGCTTTCTTCTTAAAAAAATTTTCTGTTTGAATTGAATTGTCATTGAGAGAAATATGTATAACTTATGATACTAAGAACAATTTGATTTTAAAAAATTTTCAATTTTAACTAAAAAAAATATAAACTTATTTTATTTTGACGATTTGTTTTTTTTTTATATATACATATAAAAGATCAAAAACTTTTTAACTTTCATGTAATTGAACATGTTGAATAAAATTTTACATATACATACACAATAATATATTATATTATTGTACGAGTATATGCATTAAAATATTTACATATGTACATATTATATTCATGAATGCGTGTGTCATGAGATTCTTTTAAAAAAAGATTTTTTAACTTTCAAATAAGTTAAATAAAATATTCAAAACTTTTATTTTTCTTTTATCCTTTTCAACATTGATAACAGGAAAAAAATGTTGATACAAAATCGATTTGAACGAAAAGAAAAACGAACAAAAGAAAAAAAAAATTGACAAGAAAAAAACAACTTACTTTGCCAACTTTCTGTAATATCATCAAATACAACAACTTCACCATCTGCAACAACAGCAATTCCACGAGTTGGAGTATCCATTAGTTCAATTGAATTATTCAACTGTTGCTGTTGATGCTGTTGTTCATGATGTTGTTGTTGTTGTTGTTGTTGTTGCCTTAAATCATTATTTCTATAATGTTCACGTTGCTGTTGCTGTTCACGATGTAATTGTTCACGATTATAATCACGTTTTGAATATTCTCTTTCACGATTACGTTCTCTTTCTCTATCTCTATCTCTATCTCTATCTCTAATATCTCTTTCACGTTCTAAAAATCCATTAGCAATACTACTACTATTACAACTATTATTGATGATAATATTTGTAGTGGTATTATTATTATTATTAGCACCACTACATGCTCCGTTATTAATATTATTACTACTATTATTACTACTACTGTTATTATTAATAACAATTCCAGATGATGAATGACTTATAGGACTACGACCAACTTTAATGTGCTTACTTTGCATATAACTATTATGATGGGCTGATATTATTGATGTTCTAGATTCATGATGTTCATTTAAATGCAATTCAGGTGAATTCAATACTGATTTATTTATGGTTGGTGATGTTGTTGTTATAACTGCAGTTGTATTATTATGATATCTAGGCTCCCAATAATTATTTGTAGTAACTGCTGTTGTTGTTAATATTGGTGATGATGCTGTTATAGGTGGGGTTGTTGTTAAATTCATATTAGTTGAATTAATAGCTGTTGTAGTGGTAGTTGATGTTGTTACATTACCATATGAAGTTGATGTTGTTGTTAATGTAACAACAGCTGTACCAATATTTAAACCATTTATATCCTTATTATTTATAAAAGGATTTTGATTATTTGATATAATTGAATTTAATGTATTTGATACACCATTATTACTATTAATGAGATTAGTAGTATTACAACTGCCACTGTTACTATTATTTAAATTTGTTGTTGAATTCATATTATATGATGAAGTTTGTATTGTTGCTGTTGCTGGTGTTGTTGTAACACCACTATGATGATAACCACTACGTTTTCTCGGCATATCTGTTGTAATACCTAATGTTGATGTTGTTGATGGTATTGATGTTACTGCTGTAGTTATTGATGGTGTTATAGAAGATGTTGATTTTGTTAATACTGGAGTTGATGTTATTGGAGTAGATGCAAAAAAGCTACTATTAAGATGATTATCTTTTAATTGCTGTTGTAATTGCGATAATGCTGTACTATTATAATAATATGTTGTTATATGCTCGTCTTGATGAGCACCAGTAAAATTTGCTGAAATCGCACCACTTAAAAACGGATTTGTTGATATTCTAGGTGTTATAGCTGATGATAATGATTCAGTTGATAGTGATGAAGATTTTGATGATGCTGGTGGTGAAGTAGTTGGTTCTGTTGTTGTTGCTGTTGTTGTTGTCGTTACCGTTGTTGTATTTCTTTGATGTTTAATAATAACAGATGTATTCGATTTTGTTGGTGATGATGATGATGATGATAATAATGTTGAATTTTTATTATTCTGTTGATTATAATGATGATATAATGATGATGTTAATTGTTGTTGCTGTTGTTGATGTAATAGTGTTGTTGAATTTATTGATTGATGAATTGGAGATAATGGTGTAGTGGGTGTTGTTACTTCTGTATTTGATAATGATGAAGATGGTGAATTATTTGAATTGTTATTATTATTATTATTTAATTGTTGAATTGGATTTGAATTAATATCAGTTTTTGGTTTACACTTTGGAAATAAAATTGATATTTGATCACTTAATGGCGGTGAATCAGAAAATAATATTGAATCATTTTTATATGTTTTAAATGCAGATATATTTTTTGTTGTTGATGATGAATTTTTTGTTGTTATATCTATTGGATCGCTAATACCATGTGCACCATTAGTGTTTACACTGAAATAAAATAGGAAAATAGAATTAATTTTTCTAATAAAAAAAAAAGAATTATAAAAATAAGTTTTAGTTTTTCTAAATTGATGCTAACTAAACCATACAGTTATTAAATTTTGGTAATATAATCATCGAAGGCTATATTACGCATAAATGATTTTTATATTATAATTATCAAAATATATATACGAATAAAACGATATGTAGGAGATTGAATGGATTAAAAATAAAATGTGTGAATTTAAATTTCTGCACATTTTACTACACCACTAAACTAATAATAATATAATATTGGATTTTATTATAAATGTAGCAGAAACCGCAACAACCAGACAGAACTTCCGTAATTTTCTCTGTGGTACAAAATCTACATATAGAATGCAATATGAGAATTAAATTTATATAATTATCCTTAAATGTATATCTATATGCATGGTATAACAATATGCATTTACTCATATTGTACATATATAAAATTTGTACATGCTCATTATATCAGGTGCATTTTATTTTTATGAATTATTTTTTTATTTTTTTAGTTATTCTGTGTATGCCAATCGTATTTTTTGTGGTTAAAATGAAAAGTTATGAAAAATTTTCTCTTATCATCAATCCCTTTGCGGTTTTAAGGTTTTTACACTTATAACAAAAAATTTTTTAATAATATTGACAACGGATATTATATAAAATAAATATTCAATAACATATAGCAATAGAGATTGAAAATTATTTTAATTAAAAAGAAATTAAAATGTAACATACGAAATTTTTATAATTGAGGTAATAGAGAATTTTGAAATAAAATTATTTTTAATATTTAATTTAATAATTTTGTCGGCAACAGTTTTTTCTCATTTAGAAATGTTACAAATTTGTTATTAAAAACATTAAAATTAAAATTTCAATTTAAGGTTTTGCGTTTAATTTTTAAATTGATCCTTTAATTGTATCAACAATAATTACGGTATAAAAGAATACCTACTATTTAGGAGATGGAATGTAAATTTTATAATCCTGTTCTTAATAATGAAAAACGACTTAATAACTATTAAACATTTTTAATTATACTTGTAGCTCATAATTCTAGAAGCTTATTGTCAAATTAGTAAAGAAGGGCCACTGCTCTGATTCAAATATATGAATTCACAAAAATAGCAAATATAATCGTGAAAATATACCAACTGCCTCGATATAATGGACATAGAAGAATGAACTGTTAGTGTGTCAGAATTTTTCCTATTCTGTTTCGTGACATTGACATTCTTTGAACGCATAATATTAATCTCAATCTTTTGTTATAAAATATTTAAAATAGTCTCACCACTCCAATTTAATTTTTACTCTATACAAAAATATTTTTAAAATGCACTCTCCTATTACTGTTTCGATCATATTTGGCCATATGTTTTAACATCACCCTTCATAATACCGTAAATTACATAAATATATAATATTACCTACATACATGTGCATTTAAGACAGTCTGGTGAATATAATACTCACGTATAATAGAATCTCCAATATACTTTAGAAATTGCATTTAATATTTTAAAAAATAAAGAAATATTTTAAAATGCAAAACACATTTTTGTTTTTTTTTTTGACTACTACTATTATTTATATAAGTTGGAAGGGGGATAATGCATTCAATCCCATTTATATGTTTTATATATTATGCAAGTTTAGTATAGGTATATATGATGAGTGGGATATAAAAATCGGAATTGTTGTATGTAAAAGTATTGTTCATGCTCTCATTTTGTGCACATTTTATACATACGGTTTCAGTTCACATGCAATCAAGGAAAAATTGTTAAAAATAAAAAAATTTCAAAAATTTTTCTCATCAAATTCGTGACTTGGGTAACTTTGTTTTTAACTATACAAAGAGATTTTGTTGTTATAATAACAATTTGTTAGAAGTTTTTATATTTTGTTTTGTACAATTTTTATTTTATATTTTAATTTTAGTAAATGTTGAGTGGTTAAATACGTAGAAAACCTGGGAAATGAAGAGGTCGAGTAGTGGAATGAACTGGGTCTAAAACTGTCTTTATAGAACCTGAGCCGAGCATTAGTAACATAAGGAGACTTTTAAGTTGAGTATTTACGAATGCGGTAGGGCGTGCCCCAGATTTTCGAGGGCTCTGTAATGTGCAGTCGTCGCTTAAGGGCTTCATTCTATGAATAGTATGAGTTGAAAATTCGATATTTTGTGACTGGGTCATCCTTCGATTTTGATATATTTTTGACGAGAGCTTGATTTTAATAAAGTTCCAAAAATTTTAAATTCTCGTGGTAAACATATTTTAAAATCCTATGTTATAATTGCCATATCCTGACAGCAATAATGCACAGGAAAAATATATCTTTTTAGAATTCTTCTTTGCTTCTTCACACTATACAGCTTAATTTGTCTTGAATTCCTCATTAAAATGAAAAACAAATTTTTTGTTTTTTTCAAATTTTTGGTTTTTCTTATCTATAGTTATATTATGTATGCATATCAACATATCTGAAGAAAATTTAAAGTTCAATTTAAAATAAAAGTTTTAAAAGGAATTAAACAAGATTAAAAACGACATCATAAATTTTTTTTTTTAAAAAGTTTTCTTACGTAGAAATTTTGACAATTTTAAGTTTTCAATAATTTTAAAAGAAATTGGCACTGTGTAATAAGTTCTAAGGAAATTGCATTATTGAATTTATGTCACTTTACAAAAGCAGTGAAAATAGAATCAAACTAAGAATTTTTTTGATATTTTAAGAAATAAAAAACTTGAACTGAATGTAGAAATTCAATTAAAGGCATTACTCAAAGTACTCATCGATTTTATTTCTTATAATCGAACTTCTAGACGTTTTACGCAGTTTGGAAACGTCTATTTACCTCGGTGTTGTTTAGCATGCAAGCAATATTTTGTAGATAAAACAAAAATAAATTGCTCTTTTAGAAAGCTAAAATAAACAATAAAAATTAATAAAACTGCTACAAAAATTTTGCATGAGGAACAAGAATATTTTTTTAATTCTCTATAACTATTACGAGTATACTCTGTTATATTTCAAAATATAATTACATATTTATATATTTAGGCCTAAATTTTGAACTATTTAATGTTCCATAGCTCACATAAATTATGTTTATAGCTTTTATATTTAAAATGAAATTTTCAACATTCTATTAACAGTAACAGCAATTTTCATATTAATTATGCTATTAAAATCGTGTGTGTTATACAACAAACCATAAAATTATTTTGTTCTACTTTTTTTTTTTATTTCAGTTTTTATAAACAATTCTATCATATAGTAACACCAATTTTAATGTTTTTAACCCTATGTCCATGTATGTACAATAAAATATTCATTATTTTTGTACTTTTGCAGTTTAAGATTCACCCACCAAAAAGGAACAAACAAAAAAAAAAAATAGAGAAGAAAGAAAACCAAAATGAAATGCATTTATTTTGCATATTTCACTAGAAACGTGATATTTCCTAAACATGCAAGTTTAAAATCATTTTCAATATAAACACGTACAAATACAAAGTTTTCATACAATCCTTATATACATAAGTTATACATACATATATACATTGTATTGATTTACATGAATTCATATTATATTTTATACATATTGTTATACGTTTGATATATAAATATAAAAAAAAAAATTAAAAATTTACCTTATATTCGAGGAATTTATTGGTGCGTGCTGCGGTAATGGCTGATATTTATATGAATTATTTGTAATGCTTCCTCCACTTGTTCCGATACCACTTGTGGTTCCGGTACTATTACCACTTAAACTACTTGAACCACCAATACCACTAGTACTACTATTATTATTACCACCGATACCACAACTAGTTGTACTATCTGATTCAATTATTGTTGTTTTTGGATCACTACCACTATCACTGTTACCGCTACCACTACCACTAATACCACCACCTAAACTTGTATTACTATTACCGCCGATACTACTTGTACTACCAGCACCGCTACCACCACCTATACTTGTTGTAGCAAAATAAAAATTTCTTCCACCACCGGTTGTATGCGTTGGCCTCTGATAGTGATGATTATGATTTGCTGCCGATCCTGAAACAATTGTTGTCAATGTTGAACTGACCATTGTTTTTTATACACAGGTTTAAGTAACTGAACTGTAAGTAAAATTTGTTTTTTTTTTGTTTTTTTAGAAAAAGAAGTAAAGAAAAATAAGAAAAAAAGAAAAATTAGTAAGGAAAGAGAAAATATGAACGAAAAATATTTTGTTTTTTTTTTTTTTTTGTTTTTTATAGTTATTTTGAAAAGGATTGATTTTGACATTGGACATACACATGCATAATAATATTTACATAATAAATATATATACATAGATACATAAAAAAGCATATTAAGTTTCATTTTGCATTTAATCAAAAGCATAATAAGAACTAGTAAAAACATAAAAGAAAAAAAAAATATTATGTTGCAGCGAAACAAAAATTCATTGTTGTAAATCAGTGTTGCCGTTTTAAAATATTGATTAAAAATTTATTTTATTTTATTTTGCACAGTAGAAGCATTGTGTGCCTCTTAACTTGAGTAAATTTCCATATGTTTGGAGGCTCATGGCAAATACTTTAAAAATTTTAGCTTTGGCGGTCAAAGAAATACCATAGACTAGAAATGTAAAAAAATTACATGACCGTCAATGATATTTGGACTGCCAACTGTTATAACTTACAACAATAACTTCTAAAATAGTTTTAAATTTATAGTTTCTAATTTAAATTTATGAAGATTTGCTGATAACAAGCTATAAAACAGAATTTCTGGATTTTCAATATAATTTCATTGAACCGTTTTTAAAGTTACAAAACAATCTCAATCAATACAAACTTGCAACACTGATTACGTTCAAATAAAAAAAGGCTTAAAAGTATAATACAACATTATTAAAACTTTTCCAAATTAACATTACTTTTTTCTAACTAAATTTCTATTTTCACGGAAACTAAGAAAATTTATTAATTTTTTCTAACTATACAATTATACAAACTTCCATTAGAATATTTTTAACAACAAAAGGGGGGCAATAATTCACGAAACCAGTAGAGTAAAAACTAAGGTAAAAATGAAATTATAAATTCAAAAACGGGCAACAAACAAATAAAAACCTTTAACGGTGAATTATAATATTACTAAGAATATGTATGTATGTATACATAAAGATTAATCAATAGAAATAACATTATACGAATTTCAGTAAAAGGTGTAACAACAAAAAACAAAAACCAATCATGTAAAGTAGAAAATTATCGATGTATTACCATCATACATACAGTTATAAGTGTTATACTGAATATATGAATAAAGTTTAATATTAGGAAGAAAATATTGCGGTAAAATACAGTTAGATAAAAAGGAAGAAAATAAACAATGTTAGTTTTTTGTTTAAGTACACAAATATATTTCTCTACATATATATATACATTTATGTATATATACAGGTATGTAGAGAGAAAAAATTTAACTGTAACAATTACAATAATGATAACATAAAACTAGAAAAAAAAAACCAACAATTTTGTAGCTTAAATAACAAAATGTATTAAAAAAGAAACAGTAACAATATGAAAAAAAGAATAAACATAAAAAATAATAAAAAAAAAGAAAATTATAACAGTGATTACATTCCTTATCAACAACAGTTAAAAAAAATCCTCTACCGTTATTGCTTGTTTATAGGAACAAAATATACAAGCAATAACAGTAAAAGTATGCAATTTTACTCATTTTAAAATCGCAAGGTTTATACAACAAAAAAAAAAAAAAACAGAAAGAAAAAATTAACAAAAAAAAAAATTTTGGAATGCAAAAAAAAAAAACAGAAAAAATAAAAATTTTTGCATTTTATTTTTATGATGACGGTAGGTAAAACAATTTTTCTGTCAGTATTTTTGCATTTTCTTCATGTTTTTTTTTTCTCTGTGTATTCTACATACATACACTGTTAATGGTAAAGTTTATATATTAAACGTACTCTTTATCTATTATGTAGGTATGTGCATATATGTATATGTGTACTTAAGGTTCCTACATTTATTTATGTAAATATATGCTTTATATTTTGTCCGTATATAAAAGAATTTTTATCAGTGGCGATCGGAATATTTTCGCTTTAAATATAAAATCATAAACTTTTATGCTTGTATTATGAAAAAAAAAATTATTACAATTTTATCAGCATTTCAATTTTATATTTTTGATGTTATAAAAATTTAAAGTTTGCGGAAAACTTTTATGCTCATGTAATAAAGGTTACAATAACAAAAAATATGGAAAAAATTAATGAAAATTGTGGTAAGGAAAATTGCATTTAAAAAAAAGATTCTTATCAAAAAATAGTAAGATAGGTGAAAATAGTGAGAAAAAAAGAAAATTTTAATAAAAAAAAATGGTTAAAATTTCAATCAAAATTATTGGTATTTTTCAATATTTGAACGGATTAACGCATATAAAAGATTGAAATGTGTGGATTTGATATAGAGGAAGCAATAAGAAATTCGAATAAAGTTCAAATTCGGGTAAAAATTCCTGTGTTACAGTCAAATTATTTTAAATTAAATAATGATGGTGAGTTATAGTTTAAGTTTGAATTAATTCTAAATTTTGCTTTATTACAACAACATAGTTGAGTCTGAGAGTTATTATTTTCAGAAATTTAAATATTTAATTTCTGTTGCAATACAGAATTATTTCTATAGGCAATATTATAGCATAATGCAAAAGTTATTTTTCGAAAGAATGACTTAAGAGGAGTGCTTCAAATAGAAGTTTGCACAGTCAATTCTCAAAATGAAAAAAATAGCTCGGATAATTATTATAAATTGCAGTGCTACTAGGCATATATATTAAAATATAAATATATAAGACTCGTTATATATTTTTAGGCCGGTTCTTTTACTCGTATAATACATAAATATTCGGATATCGTTCTAGCTCAGCTTTCTATATCCATATATATATATACATATATAGGTACATGTATACAATACTATTATCTCTAATAATCATTTCAAAGAAGTGAGCTAAATTGCAGACTTAAATTTTTATTTGAACAGACTAGATTCGCATATAAGTATTAATATACTCGTATATCCTATAAATTACTTAATTCAAAAAAACTTTGAGTATAAATGATAAAAGTATGTGTAAGAAAAAATCTTAAAAAAAAAAATCTTATTTACTTAAAATATTTTTTTTTTTTTTTTGCTTTATTGAAATTTTTTTTAATATAATTTTTTCTCTCCTTTATAAAAACTGAATATCTTGAAACACTGTCTCAAGTAGCGTAAGATCGAACGGAAGTAATGCCAGGTACAAAAATAATGAGAAAAAATTTTTCTTTGTTTACTGATATAAGAACGAGAATCATAATTTTTTTGATCAATTCTGACAACTATATGGTAGACAACAGCAATGTGCCGAAATGAGTATTAGTTGAGCATAATACGGTAAAAAAAAATTTATTCTTGTAACCACCACAACAAAGAGTAATGAAATCAGAGAATTGATTACTATACCAAAGCAAAGAGAGGAAGCAAAGGAAAGCAGCGAGATCAAATCCGAAAACAATTAATTATATCAAAGAATTTTTTAAAGCTGATTCATAGCTTGTTATATTAAACGTCATAAGTTTTGATTTGATTTTCGAAAATCAAAATTTATAGTCAACATAGGTTATTTATTTCGGTCCTATTGTATGGAGCTTTATACATACTTTTATTCTGTTACTATATAAGAGCAATGGAAAATAGAAAAAAAATTAACAGGATATGGTAAAATTTGTAAAGAAGCAATCGAATTTTTATTGATTGATTGATTTAATTGATTAAATTCAGCATTATTCTGTAAGTTTTTTTTTTTTTTTTTGGGAGAAAAAAAGTAGTTAAAAAGTAGTTTTTAAAAAAAATTTTTTTTTAATGGTATCTTACAAGTTTTGAAATAAATATTTGTTTTTGTTAGTAGTTTGGTTTAAGTAAAAAAAATATAATATAGAAGAAATTTTTTATAGCAAATTTAATTTATTTGTTTGTTTCGAACACAAACTAAGTGAAAAAGCCTTTCAATCAATTTTATTGAATCACATCGAATGAGTACTACAAACCAGTTATATATTGATAGTGGAATTTATTAAGATTCTTTCTTTGAATAGAAGACCTTTAATAAAGTAAAATTTAAGTAAATTTTCTGGATTGTTTGGATAATTTCAACCATATATCACAGTAAATATATTGAGGAAATCTGACAGACTCTATCAAGCATTTGCTACGCTCCTTTATTATTATATTTCATTCTTATTATATAAATCTGTTATATTGCTGGAAATCTTTAATCACACGATCGTTTTGTTATTGCAGAGCTTTAGAATCATTTTGATGAATTATTTTTTAACTCAACTCTATTTATGTTATTATTATTGTGGTGAAACTTAGGTAATTTTCATATTTCTACATAGACATAATATATTTTACGATTGAGTAATAATAAGATGGTTTTCATTGCCCTTGGAAGCTGAATCACGATTGTTGTTGAACAAAGTGAGTTTAGGCATGTAGTTTTCGTACTAAAAATTAATGTAGAAAATATATTTTTTACAATAAATTTTTTTTATCAAAAATTTTATTTTAAATCTTATTTGATTATTCTATTTTAGCAGTGTAATTAAATGTTTTTCATTTACATACATTCGATATAAATGTAATTCAAATGAAATTTTCTAAAAATTTTAAATTCAAAATAAATTTACAAATTTTCTATTTCAAACTTGAAAACCTTAATGCATAAAACATATAAACCACCAACATTCTACATCAATGGTATGGAGAGTGAAAAAGAATTTCTTTTATTATTGGTATTAGTCATATCAAATGAAATCTATAATGATTACATATTTAAATTTCGTGATTATTTAATAATATCAAAGATTATAAGATTCTAGATGAAAAATAATGTTATAAAGACCCCATCAATATACGATAATTCATAAAATGAAATTATGGTATTGAAAATTTTTATGAGTTTGAGTATTTTTTTTATAGGAAAAATCGTGTAGGATAGAAAACGAACAAAAAAAATGTATATACATAGAGAATTTACTAGAATATTACAAAAT